TTTCCACAACATTCAAAAGTTTTAACAGTTGTATGATTCTTGGATTAACATATTTTAATCATAAACAACATGATAATACTTAATCCAAGAAGGATTCTTTTTTATTGTGTTCAACATGGAGATCATTAAGAGGTTGTTTAATAACACTGCGATACAAGTTACAAATGTCAGTAAGTCTAAAACCAGAAAAGTGTATACACTTGCAACTTCAAAAGAGTCGACTTTAATGTTATCTTGAGAAAACTAAATCAAAATATCAAGATCCAGCATCAAAGGTTGGAAACTTCAAAGTGATGGCTGAGGAGAGTACCTGGTCCTGGAGTTGATCATTAAATCCTCCACCTTCATCAGAACCCACTGCTCAAATATTGGTCATCTTAAGGCTTAAGCAACTAACAACAACATATCTTGTTCTTGTCTTCAGGATGAATGTTTCCATTTTCAACTTTTTAAGAAGAGTTTTATACAAGTTTTTTAAAGAATGAGATTTTTACAAAATTTATACAAAATACATAAAATTTTACGAGTATAGTTTTACTGTTTTCTACCAAACAATCCTGATATAGCATGGTTAAGCTGCTGCTAAAACAAACTTTAAAAGAATACACTGCACTTACAAGAGGGTGCACCCAATGCCCTACAAGATCTAAATGTTATAATTAATGTGCCCCATGAAAATTGATAAAAATAGCATTATTTATGCATATTTGAATTCTAAATTTATTGGTCATCTTAATGTAAGATTTCTCTAATATTTGTTGTGTTGAAGTGATCCTAGATCAACCCAATGTCACCTAGATGCTTGCTTCATATGATTGTCTCAAATTTATGCAAGGCAAAAGAAGCATCAAAATGACACTAATACTTAGGTGTTCATAGCCCTATGAGTATAACTCCTTCAGGTCATGTTCAATGTGTTTACATAGAGACTTACAGCAGAAATATAAATATGACTTGTGATGTACAATATAAGGTATTAGAGTAATCCGCCTGAAGTTTTAACTGTAGGGATTTATCATGTTCTGTCTAAACATCCACCAGGAATCAATGTTATCTACTGTCAGAAACTCTATACTATGTACCTGTGTGTACAGTATTATCTTACGGCAGTATTTGTACTTCCTTTGACAGACAGGCAGTGTGTTTGTGGAGGGAGGGGGGAATGGGGGAGAGGAAGGAGGATAAACTTAGTATAGAAACTGTGTCTCCACTTAGCTTAGGAATGCTGACTTCCCCACAAGTTTACAACTCAAGGTTGTTTTCGTATAACCTCATAGAGAACAAAGATTTATATTTGAACTAAAACCATGTATCAGGATCGAAGGCCTATAAATTCATCTGTGAAAACCAAACACAATATAGGCCTACTTCAAGCTTACTCTTTAGAGTAAAACTCAAAATATTACGTAGGATTCACAAATTTGAAATATTGAACAAAAACCTGCAACTTTGCAAAGGCTTGTAACAAAACTGTTTTTGGAGATCCTATAGAGGTGAGAGGAAGAAATTTAAAAAAAAATGAAAATGAGTCTGAAATCTGCCAGAGAGGTACATGAAGCCTTATTAAACAAATGGCAATGCAAGGTTCAGACAATGATGTGGGTAGTGTTGGCAGACTATCAAAATTTGAATTCAAAATTTGTTTCTAGTGGTAGGTCAGCCTGCCCTAATACACCAAACTGCCTACAGTGTACATCTGCCTGTAATTTAGTATGATACTATGTTTAGGTCCAAATTTATTCATCATTTATGTAATTATAAAGCTGCTTTAGTATATTACATCAATGTGAATGATCTAAGAAAAAAGTTTTTGTAAATTTATGTATAATCTCAACACATTATCATGATTTTAGATACAATAACTGAATGATATATCAAGTCTTACCACAGCTTTAAGTTGATTCCATGGTTTTAACTAGCAAATTTCAACAAACACTAATATTGTTATCGGGAACTTGTACATATTTACTTCAAAAGTGTGCCTTGCCTTCCTGATTTTTTCCTACTAATCGTGTACGAAGGCCCAACTATTTCTTTTTTATTCAATCAGCTTCGTCTGCTAAGTCTACTGACTACCAAATTCAGAAAAATAAATGTCACTTATCTATGGACCCCTCTTTCAACAAAAACTGTAGACCTACAGTTCACTGACAAGATTGCAATAATTTCAAGCAAGAATATAGGATTGTCAGTATGTGTTAGAATTGGGTCACATACAGTGATTCAAGCACAGCAACAGATGCCAATCCACGGCACACCGTTGAATACACATGTCTGACAGTAAAAATCGCCGGCTCGCGCTGTCTGTAGCCTAACCGTGGCAGTTATCAGCAGTATAATCGGTATATAATGAATTACAGTCAATCTTACAAGTATTCTTACCTCTGATTATTCATATATATCCAAAATTCGTCGTAAACCTTAGAATATCTTCAACACATCATTTACATAGGTCCTATCGGTAAATTCCGCCTTTTGGGAATGACCTCATCGTTTTCAAACATCGCCACATCATTGGCAATATGAGTAGTAATCTAGCCAATCGCGTAGTAGCTTTTTTCTATTTATAGACGGAATTCCCCACTTAATTCGGACAGGTGCCCGTTTCGCAAAAATCTTGGGAATGTGAATTTCTTCAGCGTTGAACAGGAAAAGATGATTATTACATAACTTCAAGTTAGTTAGTCCATTCAGACACTTATCTCTGGTCCATTGTCGATAAAGGCTTTATGTAGTTGTAATGGCTTTTCATCTAATTTTCTAATTCCGTATACTACCGTGTACCACGGACTAAGATAATCTAATTCCGTGCGTGTACACATTACTATTTATTGGTCATATAATGATATTTACCCATTTTACTCGACGGAAGTTATTGTTCAAATTATATTTTTTTTACTAACAATAGATTTGTCTGCAGAGACATAAAAGTAGATATATGTAGTATCACACGGAATTAGCTTATATTAGCTATCTAAGTCTGTGGTAATACATTTTTACACGATTGATCACATCACGGACTTATCTAATTCCGTGATCACATATATAATCAAGAAGACATAAAATGTTTTTTTAAATCTTTTATGTTTTAATTACATCTTTGATTTTTCTGGATGGGACGGAGGTATCTTCATTATATCTTCATCATCAGATGCTATGTATTATAATTTAGTTCAATTAATTGTGACATTCAAATTCACCTATTACACGTTGTAAAAAAACTAATACTATATCTGATAGCACGTACACTGTTTTGAATCTTAACAGAAAACTGATTATTGATATTTGAATTTCAAAAAACAACGATATTTGAAATGGCGTGTCTTAACCCTATACTAGTATGGCGATGTAAGCGATACACCGATTTGAAATAGTGTAGAGTAAATATATCCGGTAATATATTTCATCAGCACACAAACACACACACACACGTAACGTAACATACATCACAGTGTTGTCACTGTCAAATAAAACAAATCGATATAAAGTTAGGTACAAGGTGTATACGTACAACACTTACCTAATCTCGAGCCACCCCTCTCTGGCCCGTGAATACACAATAATTCAAATTCGTAAATGTATGTCAACTGTTGTCTCGTGTTTGTCTAATGGTGTATAATCAACAGGTTACCCGCGAAATGAGAAAAGTACATATACTTCAAATTTGAACAAGTATATGAATTAAAAAGATTGTGTGATTACGTGAAATGTTACAGGTGACGTACCTTGATCGAGGTGGGAGGGGCTCCCGGGCGAATCCCCGAATATACTCGGGAGGGGGAGAGGCAGCAACGTCTTCGTCGTAGCCAGGTAAGTGTCTTCCACACCTCTGACGACAGGCAGCCCAGTTCTGCCTCACTGATTTTCACCTCATCTGTATATACACAGGTAGGTAAAGGTAAGTATGATAGCGTGCAGATAACGATATGTAGGAACTTTAATGGCGCGAACTAGATATGTCGGACATGGTTGAGTAATATTGTATGGCATTAAAAACAGCTAGAAGACAGTCTGTGTGTTGTTCTTTATAAGTACGTAATAACCTAAACCATGTAAGTGTGAAGACTTAAACATGTACAGCAAGTAAAAGGTGTGAAGAGACAGCAACTTAGATAGGTATGGCAAGGACCTGCCTTACGCAGTAAAGTGCGAGGAGACAAAACTCGAACATATAGGCGATAACAACTTACACAGTTATTCAGAACACGTGTCTACATGACATTACATTGGCAAAATATTTCACAACTAATGTCAATGGGAATAGTATCTACAATGTCCCTTACCAGCCATTATCATACATTTGTTACTAAATTACTGTTTTTATTGAATATATACCACTTGTAGTTACAGGTAAAATGAGACCACTAATTAGACATTGACATCCTAACACCTATAACACTGAATACGTTAGTAGGTAGATACACTGATAATGATTATAGGTAGGTCATTTTATAATTGTTTTTCACACGCAATCTACAAACACGTGTGTACTGACTAGGTGTAAGACATCGTAAGGTTTATACTAATGTCGGTAAACCACGTCAGGTGTGTCAGAAACAAATGCTTTACTATATATCGTAATGACGACACATTAGCAAGTCTTTTTTATAGCTCACGTCTCGTGATTCTATCCACCTTTTTGCCGTGTAATTATTTCTTACACGCAACAGGGAAGGTGTGTCTGTAATTAGTGTGTCAATGTTATTAGGCCAATACTAAACAAGGGAACCACCCAATATTTCAAAACCTTTTATTTGTTTCAAGAAATTCGATATATTTGACATAATATCCAGACTCCATTTTAACGTGTGTGTTACATCATCAATTACATCCTTAAATTGTGACGTCATACTCGAAGACGGCAACAGCAGATCTAACATGTTGTTCTTAATTAGGATGTGTTTGAACATACCTAAGGTTTGAGAAACTTTAAGTTATTTGTAGATTATAACTTGAACCTCATCCTTCATTGTCAGAACTAGAATGATAATGAACTGCCCAGTAGACATCTATGTTTTTATTTTGCTTCGATGCTTTGTCGTCAACTTGTTTTTTCACATTGCATGCTGCATCACAAATCTCCTTTATTTCCTCCAAGCCATCATTTCGGCACATGCTAAATTCCAGAACTAAAACAAAGAACTAACGAAATTACGCTACAACTGTATTGATTTTGTGAATTTCTGCAGACAAGTATCAATTATCATTCCGTTCCCGCAGACAACATGCACACGGTGACATAGCTTAACTCAATAAGGGATCTCAAAGGACCCCACAAGGGGCTCACAATCCTCCACAGCCTTTGTCCAGCAGACAGATGTGTAGAGGTCTTTATGCTATTTTACTATAGAAGATAAAACCTCCAAAGGAAATCAACGTTTTTTGTTGCATTATTTGTAAGTCGATCCAATATAAACTCCTTTGTTTTCCTATTTATGGAACATCATTGCTTGATACTATTATTTATGAGTGTTGATGTGACTTCCAACACTATTCCTACACGATGACAGCTATATCAGAAGCAACCTTTTGCGTGGTGTTCACCTTCAGACTTGCTCGATACCATACAGGTTATCTCCCTTAGACTGAAGGGCAAACACAGTAAACGGTTATAGGGAAAAAGAGGAGGGGGATACGAAAAGTGTTCAGGATCATTTTTTGGTGTTTCGGCAGTTAGTGATATAGATAATATCACCTATTCATATCCAGCTCTCAGAACTTGAAGGGTGATATCGCATATTCTAACACGTGATTTCATGCATTCATTTCACCTGTTCAAAATGACTTTATATATTCGAATATGTATAATATCATAAAATGATACCAAAATGTCTGGAACGCCAAATTAACATATATTCAATTAATTGTACCTATCTTCAAATAATTGAAGATGGGTACAATTAATTGAAGATAGATTCATTACAATTGAAGATGGGTACAATTATTGAAGATAGGTTCAATTCAATTGAACCTATCTTCAAGTGAATTGAACCTGGGTACAAATACAACATATCCTCAATTGAATTGAAACTATTTTCAATTGAATTGAACATTTGTTTAATTAAATTGGACCTATCTTTAATTGAATTGCACCTATCTTCAATTAATTGTACCTCTCTTCAATTATTTGAAGATATAGACAATTAATTGAATATATGGTAATTTGGCGTTCCATAGACTTGCTCTAACGCCAAATTAACATATATTCAAATTATTGAAGATATGTTCAATTAAATTGAAGATATGTTCAATTAAATTGAAGATCTATTTAATTCGTCAAATTTGAACCTATCTTTAATTATTTGAAGTTGTTATAATCACGTGGTTTGAATGCCTGGTATTTTTACCAAATGTTTGAGTACTAGAATGAACTGATGATATTACTATAACGAGTAGGTGACACCACGTCGATGAACTGATGATATTACTATAACGAGTAGGTGACATCACGTCGATGGACTGATGATAGCATCATGGTGACATCATCTATGTATTATAAACAGAACAAAAATAATGGCGCTCCGTGATTATGACGACTTACGTTCAGACTGACGTATTGTTGATGACGTCACATTAGAGATGACGGTAGCCTGTGATTGGTCAGATCCCGTTGATGTGTCGGAGCACTGCGAGTCGTGGTCATCATCTGACGCCACAGTTTCCACGGACCCGAAACCTGTCCCTCTCCACCTGGGGAGAGAGGTCATGACCCTGTAACAACAAGTATGTTTTATATTATATCTATATAATGGAGAACATCGTTTGAAGAGGAGACGGTAAAGTGGAAAACATAATTTAATTGGTGATCTTCCTGAAATTTCAAATTACAGAACTTCGCAATACACTTTAATGGGGCTTTGAGAAGCCTATAGTGTGTGGAGTTTTGGTACCGGCTAAGAATCAGCCACCTGGCGAACCCTGTAAGTCAATAAAAACACTCGATGACACCAGCCATCATAACACGATCAGTTCTATTCACAAGTTATAATGACCTCAGCCATTATAGCTTCATCCATTAGGGAATAAGGCCTTATGGTTGTCTCGCTTGACTGGAAATCTCTGCATGGCTTTACATTAAAGTCTACCTAACGACCCGTCTCCTCCGTTATTACAATACACTCCCATACTCCTACTGTACATGAATGCATAGGTCTCGCTCGGTTATAATGATCACAGGTGCAACTCGACGCCGCGAGGGATCGACACATACGTGCATTTTCAATTACACTTGTTTTTTAGAGAAAAATCCCTATTGAAAACAACTGTAAACACAGTTGCATTATCGATATATCGTAATTATCGATTGATTCTATAAGGCCGGTTTGAAAATGTACAAACAACGGATAATCATACTGTGTGGCCGCTTCTGATTCAGCGTTAACTATAGAAAAGATGTAACGTTTCATAGTAGCGCATTACGTCATTGAGACAAAAATATTTGTTTAAGAAACGACAATTGGCTATACTGTTAGTAAAACGTAATGTTGTACCATTTGAAACGCGTGTGGTTCTTGTTTTTGAAAAAAAATTGGGTGGGGAAAACGTCATACAATATGCGTCACACAATATGATATCATTCAGTGTGATACGTCACTTAGGATAATAAGTCACCCAAAATGACACGTCATACAATATGATACGTCATACAGTATCGATGATGATACGTCACACGATTTATTGACACGTCGCACAGTGTTATACGCCACTTTAAAATGAAATATGACCAAGTTTATGCAAAACATGACAGATACGCTAGCAGAGACAACGGACAGAATCACGCGATTCCATGTACACCAAAACACATGGATTGCGTACACCGATATCAAAATAATATTTCATTAGCTTATATATATATATATCGATAATGGTTTTATCATTGTCTTTTCTGAGCGAAAAGGTAAATAACAGAGTCAGCATATCAATAAACTAATGTACATATAGCAGTAAATTTCACTCCAAATATGTAATACTTGATACAAATACAAGAACCTACCTTCAGTAGATAAATGCAACATTAAAGGCAGAGACACGAAGACAATATGATCATTAGTAAGGCTTACAAAACCTACCAATACCACATTGACACAGTTCAAAAGATAATCACAGTAAGAAGGTTCATTGCATAACATAGAGGGAATATATATATGCGTAACAAAGAAACGATATATTTTGGTTACATAAAAAACAATACTCATTGCAGAATAACCAGAGACGTATATACTGGCTTTATAAGCCTCTGGCATGACTGTCTTCAAAGGACTAGTCATATCTCCCCAATATCGTTATAAAGGCCAGGCTAATCATATCTCCCCAATATCGTTATAAAGGCCAGGCTAATCATGTCTCCTCAATGTCGTTATAAAGGCCAGGCTAAGCATATCTCCCCAATATCGTTATAAAGGCCAGGATAATCATATCTCCCCAATATCGTTATAAAGGACAGGACTAGTCATATCTCCCCAAAATCGTTATAAAGTCCAGGACTAATCATGTCTCCTCAATGTCGTTATATAGGCCAGGCTAATCATATCTCCCCAATATCGTTATAAAGGTCAGGACTAGTCATATCTCCCCAATATCGTTATAAAGGCCAGGATAATCATATCTCCCCAATATCGTTATAAAGGCCAGGATAATCATATCTCCCCAATATCGTTATAAAGGACAGGACTAGTCATATCTCCCCAAAATCGTTATAAAGTCCAGGACTAATCATGTCTCCTCAATGTCGTTATAAAGGCCAGGCTAAGCATATCTCCCCAATATCGTTATAAAGGCCCGGACTAGTCATATCTCCCCAATATCGTTATAAAGGCCAGGCCTAGTCATATCTCCCCAATATCGTTATAAAGGCCAGGCCTAGTCATATCTCCCCAATATCGTTATAAAGGCCAGGCTAATCATGTCTCCTCAATGTCGTTATAAAGGCCAGGCTAAGCATATCTCCCCAATATCGTTATAAAGGCCAGTCTAATCATATCTCCCCAATATCGTTATAAAGGACAGGACTAGTCATATCTCCCCAAAATCGTTATAAAGTCCAGGACTAATCATGTCTCCTCAATGTCGTTATAAAGGCCAGGCTAAGCATATCTCCCCAATATCGTTATAAAGGCCAGGACTAGTCATATCTCCCCAATGTCGTTATAAAGGCCAGGACTAATCATGTCTCCTCAATGTCGTTATAAAGGCCAGGCTAAGCATATCTCCCCAATATCGTTATAAAGGCCCGGCCTCATTATCTCTCATATGTCGTTATAAAGACCCGGACTAATCATATCTCCTCAATATCGTTATAAAGGCCAGGACTAATCATATCTCCCCAATATCGTTATAAAGGCCAGGATAATCATATCTCCCCAATATCGTTATAAAGGCCAGGACTAATCATGTCTCCTCAATGTCGTTATAAAGGCCAGGCTAATCATATCTCCCCAATATCGTTATAAAGGCCAGGCTAATCATATCTCCCCAATATCGTTATTAAGGCCAGGACTAGTCATATCTCCCCAATATCGTTATAAAGGCCCGGACTAGTCATATCTCCCCAATATCGTTATAAAGGCCCGGACTAATCATATCTCCCCAATGTCGTTATCAAGGCCAAGCTAATCATATCTCCCCAATATCGTTATAAAGGCCAGGCTAATCATGTCTCCTCAATATCGTTATAAAGGCCAGGCTAATCACATCTCCCCAATATCGTTATAAAGGCCAAGCTAATCATATCTCCCCAATATCGTTATAAAGGCCAGGCTAATCATGTCTCCTCAATGTCGTTATAAAGGCCAGGACTAACCACATCTCCCCAATATCGTTATAAAGACCCGGACTAATCATATCTCCCCAATGTCGTTATAAAGGCCAGGCTTATCATATCAACCCAATATCGTTATAAAGGCCAGGCTAATCATATCTCCCCAATATCGTTAAAAAGGCCAGGACTAATCATATCTCCTCAATATCGTTATTAAGGTCAGGCTAATCATATCTCCCCAATATCGTTATAAAGGCCAGGCTAATCACATCTCCCCAATGTCATTATAAAGGCCCGGACTAATCATATCTCCCCAATGTCGTTATAAAGGCCAGGCTTATCATATCTCCCCAATATCGTTATAAAGGCCAGGCTAATAATATCTCCCCAATATCGTTAAAAAGGCCAGGACTAATCATATCTCCCCAATATCGTCATAAAGGCCAGGACTAATGATATCTCCCCAATGTCGTTATAAAGGCCAGGCTAATCATATCTCCCCAATATCGTTCTAAAGGCCAGGCTAATCACATCTCCCCAATGTCGTTATAAAGGCCAAGACTAATGATATCTCCCCAATATCGTTATAAAGGCCAAGACTAATCAATCACATCTCCCCAATGTCGTTATAAAGGCCAGGACTAATTATATCTCCCCAATATCGTTATAAAGGCCCGGACTAATTATCTCTCCAATGTCGTTATAAAGACCCGGACTAATCATATCTCCCCAATATCGTTATAAAGGCCCATGCTATAGTTCCAATGAGTCCGTTACAAAACCCTGCTATAGTTTGAGTGAAACTATACTAAAGGCGGTCACTAGTATACCCACGACATTCAGGTGAGTTATGGTCTTCGATCAGGTAGATACATGTGTAGATCAAAACGTTGAAATGCGTGTGTTTTGTTAATGAAAACACAACAGAGAATATACGGTTATGCAATGATAAAAGAGAATATCAAACGTTGGTACACAATAAACACTTCTGGTGCTTTCGTTTGATCATGGTTTTTAATATTACATGGATTATAAATAGAATGAGATAAAGTACCACCGATGTATAGATAACTGGTGACATGCGGCCGTTCAGATGTCAGATAGATCGGTCAAAGCAAGCAAACCTCCGAGAATCACCAACTCGTTACAGCTGGATGATTTGTGCCATTTCGTTGTTTTCGAAATGAAGTACCTTTTAATTCATCTTATCACCCCCAAAACAACGCGCCAGGATAGTTTGCCTGAATCTTGTTCAATCATTGCGAAATGAGGGAAAAATGCACGTTTGGTGACCTGTTACCCTTGTTTTTAGGGCTTGAATTGTTTTCGTTATTATCGAGCGTGTTCTTTTTGGTTAAATATACGTAGGCCAATTAAGACACCGAATCATTTGGCAGTGAACCGTGTTTATATAAATATTTCAACCTCCCTGATCATTCTAATCTGTCTCCATGAATGTCCGTATTTTCTGTACATCGAAAACTACATCAGAATACTAACAAGACTGTTCCTGCTGACATCTGGAAACTGGCTAGGTGACTTAATAAAATCCTTGATGATGTAAATAAATTCGACTCTTTAAAACTGTTCAAGACTATCCGGGAACGTAGAATTTTATGAAAGTCGAATTCGCCAAAAACGGGATAGATGTCAACTAACATCAGTGATGAAGGATCAAAAGCTATTGAGAGAAACCTACCACGAAAGCCATGCAAAAAATGTGTCGCCACACAGCTGCCTTACGAACAGACAAATAAATAGTTTAACGCCTTGGCAGACTTCAAAAGCATTTAAAGAACAGTGCACGTGCATTCTTTGGACATCACCCGACAAGATTAAAAAAGTCATTGTTTGTTGAACGGGATGCACTCGTGACTAGTGACTATTTTTCAATGCTAAAATGGAGGTTGAGACGAAATCTGAAATACGCTCATATATCAAAGCATGGTGTGCTCATACAGGGTTGTGCAGCATAAAGGCACCACTGCCATAACATTGAGACCTGTTTTCTGGTAGGTGAACAAATTCAAGAAAGGTAAAACTGGCATAAAATAGAAAACACGGCTAGGCAGTCCAGTTGTTGCTGCATCAAAGAAGAACATTGTTTCTGTGAAGCAATAATGATACTATTTCTGAGATAGCTCATATTGTTGGCATTTCAGAAGGCAGTACACATCACATTCTGACCAAGTGTTTGAAATTAAAGAAACTTTGTTCCCGATTTATTCCCCATTTGCTGACATCTGAACAAAAGGCCGAACGTTTGAAATGTGCTAAAAATATACACCTTTAATTGAATTGGTAAGGTAATTGCTACAAAACATCTGAGTTACTTACAGGGGACGACCTTGTTGTATTAACAAGCAATGAGCGTCGAGCAGAAATCAAGCTAAGCCAATGATTGCAGGACGTAAAAAAAGCGCCGAGAGAGTTTTATAAGCCTGTCAACAGGTTCTACAAGCAACAGCATCCAGCTAAATCGCGACAATGCTTCATCACACGAAAGAAATATTGTAAACGTATTTTTGTAGCAAGAGAAGGAAGTACAGATTGACCATCCACCCTACTCACCAGATCTAAGTACCTGTGATGTCCCCTCGTTTCCCTTACTAAAGGAAAGGCTCTCTAGGAAACGGTATGTCTCTAGGAGTGCTATCAATCTTCCATTGCCTCGCCAGCATACCAATGAGAGATTACAACGCTTACGAATGTTCGTTTTTGCTACGAAGGATATTTCGAAAGAATGTAATAGAAAAATCAAACTACGTACAACATATTTGTGATTCCTGTCACTAGTGACAGGATTTATTGAACGGCCCTCGTACCAATTGGAATGTGAATTTCAAGATACTGACAAATTCGATTGAAGACTACAACCCGATGTCCAAAGCACACTCAACGATCGGTATGATAGGTTTGTAGTTGTGGCAGCAGACAAAGTATATAGTAACTTAATCTTTGTCTACAAACATTTTTGATTTGTTACTTGCAAAAACAACTACACTTATTGGATAGCTAAGGAAATACTAACCATGCACTTTCAGTATTTCGAAATTCTAGCTATGTATGCCTCTCTATAGCAATCTTTCGAATACCGAATAATACTAAGGATACGGACCGGCCTCGTTTGTATTGGATTCTGAAGTTAAACTTCACAAGAATCCTTCTAAACAACATTTTATCGTCGAATAGTGACATTGTATTCTTCATAAGTAGATGTAATGAAATGTTGATTTTCAAGAGCCCAAAGGATACTTTAATCAAGCAATATCCTCTCTACAAGGAATGTTTCTTCTATCATAATATTTGACCTTTTCTCTTCTCTTAACACTACTACAACTCGTATCAGACCGAAGGAACATTTATATCTAAAGGTATGGTTGTAAACTATTTTTGAGCATATTCTGTTAAAAAAAATGAAATGTACTGATGACAGAATCGTGAAACGATTTGGTTCCTGCACAGCACTCTCTTTGTTGAGTTCGGTGGCAATATTTTCCAGAAGACTATACATAGGCATTGTTCTGGCATCACGTGTGCCCCTCTTCTTGATGGCTAGTTTTTGTTTTCAAGAGCTTATCAGGAATGGTGACAAAACATTGCCAAGTCATTCAATTTCACTTTGAGATATGTCGATGACGTGCATTGTCTTTAAAACACCAGAAGGAAATATTTGATCGTATACGGTATATCCCTTATGGACCTGAAATCAAGGACACTGACTTCTACATAAACCACTTTTATAGGTCCATGCCCCACAAAATGACCAACAGGGGTTAGGGTTAGGCGTGACGATTTCGATTTTCTGCTCATGAATTTTCTGTTTCTTGATAGCAACCTCCATACAACCCCTACCTACGATGTTTACATTTCGCAGTTGATTCGGTATTCAAGAGCTTGCTCGGAATATCATGACTGCCATTATAGTTGTCGACTGCTGGAGGACAAATTAATAACACTGGGTTCCGAGAGAAGCATGTCGATGAAGAATATGGGCGAGTTTTATAGTCATCCTCGTGGTCTTTGGAAACATCTTATTCTTTTAGTTTTGTCATCGAGTTTAGATTTACCATTTTATATATTTGTAAGCAGTCCCCTACAACCAGATCAAAGAACGAGAAGTTTCCGAGTAACCAAAGATCAATACAATAACACCTATACAGATCTATAACAATGATCGTTCCTCCATTAAATCAGAGCGAATCCATGTTTTGAAATAAGCGTTTCGACTAAGTAAACTTGACTTCCAGTCTTCACAAAATTACTTTCAAATATGTCGGTACCCTCCCAGATTGACCGTTAGTTGGGTTGTCAACTTGAAAGTGTACCAAATACAGAAAACAAATCTTTTAACTTCAATGAGGAGACACGTGCGCTCATTTTCAATCCCGTCAATAGAAACATAGTCCTGCGCAAGAAAAACATTATTGCTTTGGGTGGGGATACTTTTCCAGATTGCGTGTAAATTGCTGTAAATTATCTTAGGTATTCCTATGGAAGGAGTTATTTATATTTATACACTGTTCACTATCTCGACTTTTTAAGCCTTTTCACAAATGACAACGTTACACTTTGGACTTGGATCAAGGTTTCAGATTTTCTTTGGTACACCTAAGGGTCAATGATTGTTATAGGAGCTATCTGTGGTCCTTGGTCATAGCGAACACGGAAACAGTATAAAGAATGATAAAAGACCGACAGTGTATATATTTCATTTGGAGATGTGTCAAAGACTTGGCTCATTTAATACTGTTGATAAATATGTTGCAACGTTTGTATTTTAATGACGATTTATGCATTTATGTATGTATTATTCAATGAGACGTAAATAAATAAATAAATATTAATAAACTTACATGACAAAGGCGGATTGATTTATCTACAGACTTCATCTAATTAGACTTACCTGTCGGTACCGAAATCCTGAGTGTCAGGCGTCCTGGTCCGATCTCACAATGTCCACCATTCACCTTGAACGGGAGCCCACTACACTTGTACGTAGAGTGAATACATAATTAGTAGCATGTAAACACGAACTAGATTGTAACGGCTAAAGGTTAATTTCTTCATTATTGAACACATTGATTTTTAGAGCTTTTATAACAACCTCTGTTTATTAACAAACAATGACTTTGGCACGGACATACAATATATATATACGTGTATATATAGATTTCAATATCTGCCTGAGTAATTGATACTATTGTGGCTGAACCAACGATCAGATATATACGTACATTTCAAAAATTCAAAGTCGGATTATATAAATATAAAATTTAATCTTTCAATTAAGAAAAGTCTCCGACTTATGACGTCGAGTCAGAATAATTATAGGACTAGTAATAGGTTTACGATAATATAAATATGGCGGGTATTTGTTATCTGAACATAACATATTCTTGTAATCGAACTTTGCACATGACATTAGTATGCACTGGTTCATTAATTTGTGGACGAACTGTCTTGAAGTGTTGCGTAACACGACAACTTGGCTAATTTGGTGGTCACTCATTCGGACATAGCTAAAGAAAGGGTCCTCGTTGTGTGCGTGAAGTAGCATTACATTTAACATACATTTATTATTGTGTTGAATCAAATTCTCATTTGATATAATCAGCGAACTGCCCCATTTTACTAACTTAAAGAAATTTTGTAACACTAAAGCTTTTTCCATGCGAAATTATTATTGGAGAGAAGGAGTAACAAACCCACTTAGGATCTTAAATCAAGGAGCTTTTAACACTGATGCCTTCGTAAAACTGTGTCCAGAGGAATGCTATTTGAATTGGATGTCTTAACATAGCATGTCTCTAATGACTTGGATTGGTTTGTTGCTATTTACAAAAGTGCACATATTCACATAACCAAGTCACATGTTTTAATTGATTAATAGATGTAAACTATATGGGATTTTCTATGTTCACTTTTAGAGAATAATGCCATCATATTTATATTTAATTGATGACCTTCATCTTTTTTCCAAATGTTGAACCTTGCAATTGGTTTAAGAAATGGCATTACTAATTTAATAGCTTCATCCTACAAATTCCCGGGGTAATGCTCACTTACGCCCTCTGCAAACAACGTGAGAGAGAGAGACTAATCCCTGGAATGCTGAGGCTGTTATTACTCGTACCCCATGCGGTTGTTATATATGAGATAATGAAATGTTAAATCCAATTAAATCAATGAAGCACACAATGTGTATGAAACCTTGTGTGAAATGAAACATTTGATTTTAACATATGTATGTTTATATCATGCTAGCAATGCTAGTTAAAATCTGATCATAATGTATAGCTATACTATTGACATAACCTACGGATGCATGTTAACGTTAACGGGTACCTGTCCTTATGGACGGAAAGTAAATCGTAGGAGATTTGATGACGTAAGATTAGGTATACTTACAAATGAGACAGAGGCTGTATCGAAATGGTCTCAGGCGCCAACCATCACAGTAGCTCATGGTGTTCGAAACAGTAGTCGAAAGAAACTCTCAGAACCCATCCGCCATGTTTAAAAATTCACTCCTCTATTCAGAGAGTTATGTTAATTTTAAGTGCCAGACATGTTTACAAATGACCGGTTTCGCCACAATAGCCTGAAACTTCTCTCCAAAACCACTTCACATGACAATGGAACCACACAGCATATTAATGCTTTATTCAACACTTACTGTTAGCAAAACAAATATACCCAGTCCAATTTCAAAAGAATTGATATCTTGTACTTGTTAATTTGGCCCGAGATATGAGAAAACGTAACGCGTGCATTCTAATCCGAATACCTTATCCACTTTACAATGTATAATGGGATTATCAAAATCAAGTTGATTATCTTAAATCGTAACGAGTACCTGTGAATGGAATAATAAAAACAACATACACAAAAGGTTAGTCCGAAATAACTGTCTCCGCCCCATCAATCATCTAAAAAAAGGAATAATAGGCAGTTATTTCATATCAACAAAAAGTACATACCTGTACATCAAAGCATCAACAAGTTACAATAAAACATGAAGTTAAAATTCATATATCTTCTCCTTGGTATTGTTTGCCTTGTGTCTCGAATACGCAATCTGCAATTTAAAAGTTTCCCCACGACGATTAATTCAATACCTTATTTAGCTGTACATGCACACTTACCAAGATTATGAACAGTATCGAGTGCACGACCTATATTGTAATGCTATGATTGTTGTTAGTCTTTAATGCTATTGTGGGTGCGTCATAACAATACTTTAATGTATCGTGTCGATATATCTATCTATATCCACCATGTTAGATCTTTTGGGTGCTTACTCTGCACGTTAAAAACAAGTCGATTAATATCGATGTACACAGAGATACATAGATTGTATTCGGACCATAGGAATGCACATATTCCCCTGTTGTCAGTTCTATCGTATAAATACAAGTTTAGGAGGGATTTATTCCTATCAACAATGTTACAATAACAGATATTGGCAATGCTTAGCGTCAATGTTAATAAAAAGAAGCGTATCGTTAGAATATACATATTGTGTATTGATATCGACAAAACGTTTTATAGTTTTCACCAAATCTATCTGGACTTTCATATCCTTTCTCTTAGGTGTGAAACCGACGACACGGTTTGTAGACAGCATTGGGAGAATAGTCTACTTAGCAACTATTGAATTCTTCACGCACAAATAACCAATATTGATAATTCAAAGTGTTTTTGTTCACAACTTGTCTGTTAGGCGGTGTTTCCTTTGGCACCTCTGAATTCCTGTTCTTATAATATGACTTTAGCTGTTCCGAGGACGGACAACCCTGAACAAACAGGAGGCCCAATGGGCCGGAATCGCTCCTCACACCTGTAATCTTAAAAGTGGACTAAAATACAACTACAGGCAGAATATCAGTGTTTGATTCATAAGAACCTATTAAAAGATTTAAACATATGACGCCTGTGACCTTGAATAACAAACAAGGACATTAAGTTGAACAGAGTTTATAGTCTTCCAACCCAGCATGCTTCTAGCAAAATATCATTACCCTGGACCTTTTGGTTATACAGAACAAATCTTTTAAAGATTTAAAAATATATTGACCACTGTGACCTTGAATATGATTCAAGGTCATTTATTTGAACAAACTTCATCCCAGCATGTTACTGGCCAAATATCATCACCCTAGGCATCTTGGTTATTCACAAGAAGTTATTTAAAGGTTTTAAACATATTTGACCCCTGTGACCTTGAATATAAATTAAGATAATTTATTTGAACAAACTTGGTGACCCTTCATTTCAGCATTTTACTGGCCAAATATCATCACCCTAGGCCTCTCGGTTATTCAGAAGAAGTCGTTTAAATGTTTTAAACATATTTGACCCCTGTGACCTTGAATATAAATCAAGGTAATTTATTTGTACAAACTTGGTAGCTCTTCATTCAGCATGTTACTGGCCAACTATCATCACCCTAGGCCTCTTGGTTATTCACAAGAAGTTGTTTAAAGGTTTTAAACCCATTTGACCCCTGTGACCTTGAATATAAATTAAGATAATTTATTTGAACAAACTTGGTGACCCTTCATTTCAGCATTTTACTGGCCAAATATCATCACCCTAGGTCTCCCGGTTATTCAGAAGAAGTTGTTTAAAGATTTTAACATATTTGACCCCTGTAACCTTGAAAATGGATGAAAGTCATTTATTTGAACAGACTTGATAGCTCATCATCCTAGCATGCTTCTGGCCAATTATCATCACCCTAGGCTTTTTGGTTACTGAGAAGATGTTGTTTAAAGTAAAAGGTTGAAAGTTTAAATGATGCACTGTCATCTACCAGCCTATCACTCGGTTGAAGCTAAACTTGGTGAGGTTGTTCACATATTCCGCTCCTCTAAAATGCTCTACGTGTAGAGGAGCGGAAATACAAGTATTTTTTTAATTAGATTGGTTGTTCTCCAAGTGGTTACTAACAAATTTAAGGAGAGGTTACTGCATTAACGAAAAACTAGTGCGGTGGGACAGAGATATCAGAACATTTGCTAAAGGTACCAAGACTTGGGATGAAAGTGCAGGATTTTATCAGAATCTAATGTGATACTGAACAAAGAGTACAAAATATGACCCAAGTTGATGGCTTCGACTCTTCATCGGGATCTTTACGAAGAAAACAGCAGCTTTTTTGAAGAATGCCATTTCATGCTTTGTAAAGAAAGGAAGAAAACATAAAATTATGTTGAACCATTCCAAATCATCTCCCTGCCGAATGTGGAAGTAAACATACACTTTGCATTCAGTGCTGACGAGGCAGTTGACTGGTTGTAGTTCCCATACATACATTATGCCAGTACACACAAGAACCCTGATCCGTAAAGCTACCGTAGTATAACAGAGGAGATCTTGGGTTAATCTGACTGCATCTTGCCAATGCTTCCAGAAGGATATATCACAGATAAAAGAGGTTGCCAACCCCTTTTCGCACGGTTGGGCGATTCATAGTGGTGTTCATTACACCATGTGTTGGCAGCATAAAGTTTTGTACGACTCATGCAGCAGTAAATGTTTTGGTACCGTTTTGTTCTCTGAAACTTGGGGAGTATCCAGATGCCAGGGCAGTCTTTCACAAGGTAATCGAGGAAACACTAGAGCACTATCACGAAGCATGCTTAACGGGTGATCAGTAACTACTAAGGCTCAAGTTGCACTATCTACCGCTAGCTGTGGTGGATTATGCAATAACAGCAGACTTCTGAGAAGAGCATTGGGATATCTGCCATCACTTTAAGTAAGAGGACCAAAATATCTAAAATAAAATCCACCAATCATCGATTAGAACTAGTACATGTATCAGCGTGGTGGCATCCTCGATATCCAGGGGTTACGTTCACTTTCGCTCTCTACACCCCTGGAATATGTCATGGCAAAATTGAAGGCATGATGAAAAACTGACAAATCGCTAAGCTGATACCCGTCCTTTGAAGATTACAAAGGAGAGACGCCCGACTTCAAAGCCTGTCAACTTTTACTGTTACATGACCGTGAGATTCTTTTGATGTATATCAAAGGATCGAACTAGTCTCCTTGTCTCATCAACAAGGTGGTGCACACCGAGCCTTCAATTTTGCTATGACATATTCCAGGGGTGTAGAGAGCGAAAGTGAGCACAACCCCTGGATATCAAGGATGGCGTGGTGGGTGCTCACATGGAAAAGATAGACCAGAAAATGAACGTGTCTTTATACAAGAGAACAGTAACTCAGGAAATGAAGATTTCTCAATACAAGCAAGCGAAAAATAATCTGAACAATTTCGGCTGAAAGTTCAAACACCATTCCATTGGTAGTCGATAATTAATAAAGTGTATAGAGGAAAAGTGTGAAATTCATAGGATACCAACTAGATAGAAATTTAAAAACAAATATTTCAGCGTGTGCTGCTTTCTCAATGATGTTGCAAAATGATCAAGAACATCAGCATCTACTGCAACAGACTGGGACGCTATCTTTCTTCTCAATTATACTTCAAAAACCATAGAATGAAAAGAATGCAACTGTCAACGGGAATGATATATATATATATATATAATATATATAGTTGAATTGTGAGAAAGGCTTGTCAAGTTTAACAATAAGAAGCAGCAAGGTATGAATTCTTGTTGGTAGAGAATGGAGAAAAAGGGTGGCACAAACATAGGACTTAACAAAAGAGGTGCCGCAGAGTGCGAGTTATACCAAGATCAAGGAAGGGAGCTAACACTGACTTCCCTAGACAGAGGAAGCAGTAAACCCGAGCACAGTGACTAGTCATCATGGTGGAACACCTCCACTTAAACTCAAAGTGTGAACAGTCATAGGGTTGGAACATTTGATGAAAGTATTGACCTGTCTGACAACACTATTGTGGTATGATGCTGATGTTACAAAATCCTATAGTGACTGTATTTGTAAGTTGGAACAAGTCTGACGGCTAATGTACTGTGGAGCTGAAGGTCAAAGGTCTTATAGTGACTGTATGTGTAAGTTGGAACAAGTCTGACGGCTAATGTACCGTGGAGCTGAAGGTCAAAGGTGAAGATGACAAGGTCTATAATTACAGAAAATATAAATTTGCTCAATGTTATTCATGGAATATCACACTAATGTTATTCACGTTGGAAGTCAAAAGGTCAATTTGTAGGGTCAACAGGTCAATGTTACGGTGCTAGATTGATGCATAAAAACACACAAGTGTCGGCTGGAATTTTTTATACAATTTAATAAAGATGTCAAATGATTTGATGGAGGCTACATTATTATATCACATAATCATCTTGCTACATCAGCTTCACTGTTTTTTTCTGCTTTTTCGTCTTTGTGCGTACTTTAGATCTGTCTTTCTTTGCCTTCCTCGACATGTCTGATGAAGAGTCTGTGTGGGATTCCTGCGAGGGATTCTGTTTTTTATATGGTGTATCTTTCATACTTGATGTGTCTGTAGATGATTTCCTTTTCTTGGACTTCCTATCTGCAGTCTTCGTTTGCCTTTAAAAAAAGGATATGAAAATTAGCGAAGAATTTGTTTCTTCCTTGATATGATTTCCATCCTGTAAATTGATTAATACACAAATTTAAACATTTCACAAATATTTTATCTTTAATAAGATGTTATGTCTCACAGATAACACTCAATGGTCTGATAAGACAACTAAAATGCTCAGCAGCAGTACATGATCATCTAATTAGATTTAAATCTAATTTAAGGAATAAATTCGCAAACAAATAATTCAAATATACTGAAAGTCATAGATTACAATATAAACTAAGATCTTAGAGAATTAGAATTTGTAGCCAAAAGTTGTGAAGTTGTGACGTTATAAAAGGTTTTTAAAGGCACCTTTTTCATTTTTCTATTTTCTTCACATGTTTAAATTTTCACCTTAAGTATCACTGAGGAGGACTAAACAGACGAATTGCCACATGGTGCATTGAAAATGTCTACTTTGTTTAGCTTTTTGCATCGACTTGCTGAAGTTTTAAAAGAGAACTTCCTTACAGTACTAATATTTCTATCAACTATTTCAAATATGATTGTAGTTAACACTGTCATTTGTTAAAAAAAAAATGTTTTTACGTTTCAAGACAAGAATTATGTACACATAGAAATGTCTTCAAATACATAGGTTCATTAAAAGTACAATGTACAAAGAGGAGTAATTACATAGCCATCTCAATTTCCTGATAGATCAAAGTAATATTTAAAAATAAATTATCAGACATCTACAGTAATCATCCTTTTCTTTACAAACGAAATGTCAACCTCAAATCTTCCCTAGAGTATGATGTCGACCTCAAATCAACACTAAAGTATGATGTCAACCTCAAATCTTCCCTATAGTATGATGTCAACCTCAAATCTTCCCTAGAGTATGATGTCGACCTCCAATCAACCCTAGAGTATGATGTCGACCTCAAATCAACCCTAGAGTATGTGTCGACCTCAAATCTTCCCTAGACTATGATGTCAACCTCAAATCTTCCTTAGAGTATGATGTCGACCTCAAATCAACCCAAAAGTATGATGTCAACCTCAAATCAACCCAAAAGTATGATGTCAACCTCAAATCTTCCCTAGAGTATGATGTCGACCCCAAATCAACCCTAGAGTACGATGTCGACCTCAAATCAACCCTAGAGTACGATGTCGACCTCAAATCTTCCCTAGAGTATGATGTCGACCCCAAATCAACCCTAGAGTACGATGTCGACCTCAAATCAACCCAAAAGTATTATGTCAACCCCAAATCAACCCAAAAGTATGATGTCAACCTCAAATCAACCCAAAAGTATGATGTCGACCTCAAATCAACCCTATATATACGGTGCTTTGTTCAGCTCAGACAATTTTTGTTTATTTTCAAAACTTGATCAGTAAGTTCCTAATACAATCCTTACTCTCTTTCATTGATGGCGGCCTGTAGGCGTTTGGCTTTGAGGTTTGTGGAGATACAGTCTCTCCTTGGCACTTTCTTGGACATCTTTTTCCTCTTTTTCCTGAAAATGGTAATAAACAACACTGTTAAAACAGAAATATCAAAGACAACTTCTGTTCAATGGAGCATTTATCATAATCAAATCTATTTGAAAGAAGTATTGACATTGGTTAAAAAAAATACTTACTGTCAAATCAATGACAGGTTTCAAGCCTGCTTCACAAAGCAAAGTGGGCATTTACAAGTCAATTTGTTCTTTTACTTGAAAGACAATACCATGGTATTAAGTTGTATTTTCCCCCTTTTATTCATGCATAACAGAAAAGTCTGTGCCCACGACCTATTGGTACTGATGACTTACTTGGACAGGCGTTTAATTTGTAACATGTAGTCAGGGACAGGACAGCCAGCCTCATGCATGATGTTGGCAATACTGAAATACACAATCGATTGTAACGAGGTTACACACAGAAAACACTGAAAAATTGCCTCGCTGGTATTATAAATTATACATAAGATAAAGATAAGAACAACAAAACAGGTTATCTGGTCTCTTGGTTTATAAATGAACTAGGTCCTCTTTGGGTTTAGGGCTTATAACAACATTAAACACTAATGATACTGTTCATTTGTGTAAGCTAAAAGTCTAAGCTATTTGTTTCTAATAACCCTAAGGCTATTCCAGATAAGAATTATATAGATGGGGGTGGGTTGCACTATAAACATATTGAATTTCGGAATAGCTCCATTAAAGATGCTTTTTTTATTAGTTAGACCATGTCTAGAGTCCATGAGAGATGAACTGTGCCTGATCATACACACAACTGTCTGCACACTACAGACCAAACCTACCTGCGGATATTGACAACATCGTCCTCAGTGAAGAAGGTCATAGCTCTGCCTGGTCTACCCGCTCGCCCTGTCCTCCCTGGAAACATGTTAGGTCAAGGGAGATGAAATGAGAATGTTCAGGGGAAAAGTTTGTGCCATTTATTTGAAATATATACATCATATAGTCAAGTTACAACTCTCTAATCACCAGCTAAATATGTAAGCTATAATTAATGTGACGAAAAATCTCCTGTCATTGCTCTTATTTTAATGAAGTACATTTTTCAAATATTCTTGACCAGCAATCTACTGAAAGAGTTGCCATTACACTCAATGTTTAATATGTCAATTTTTTTTGCAGATGGTAAAAGCTACAAAAAACCTCCTGGTCATATATAAGAAGTGATGTCTCTTTCACCATTCAGAAATTGGCTAAGGGAAGGATAAAACAACTCACCTATCCTGTGGATGTAGCTGATTGCACTGTTTGGGAAGTCATAATTGATGACTAGGTTAACTCCCTTAAAGTCTATTCCACGTCCCATTAACTCTGTAGAGATCATGATCCAGATCTTACCCGCCCGGAAACTCTTCACCACATTGTCTCTCTATAATAATGGTAGGTTGTATCCATTGTACCAAATGTATTTTAAGGCTTTTCAGTAGACCTTTTTAGAATATGTTTTTGAGTCCCAAAAACTGATTTTTGACCTTAGTTTTAAAACATGTGTCTGTACAACATAGGTTGTGACTCTACAAACGTTAAGGAAATTGTGATTTCACTTTTCTAAATATCAAGGGTCAAGTAAAAGGGCCGTATTTTAATGTAGCATTTACCGTTACAAATAGAGTTATACCAACTTTCAAGACTGTACAATTGTTATACTGAATACATGTATAGCCTTTTGTCATCTATTTTTATACTGGGTAATGTTTCTGAGAAAAGGTAAAAATTCTAGTTTGTTAATTCCAAAACATTTTTATCCATGCATTAGTGAAAGATTGTGTACCTGTAGCTGTGTCCTGTCTGAATGTATAGCATCCACGTTAATGCCATCATAAATGAGTTCCTTTAACAGTTGTTTGGCTCTGTCTTTGGACTGGACAAACACCAGGACTGGAGGCTCGATACCCTGTAGATAACAACAGACAAATGCTTATGGACTGGAAAAAGTGATAATATACATACATTTGCCAGTTGAACAGATGAATGAACAAGTGACAGCTACGTTCCCTACTTAATTTCTAGGGGATAAAATGAGTTTACATTCTACATTCAAACATGTCTGTTATTCATAAAATATATCTTACTTTTTGTATGATTTCCCTGATAGCAAACAGCTTCCCAGATTCTGTTCCTACAAACTTTAATTCTTGTTGTATGGTTTCTGTTGCTGAATTCCTGAAATGAGAAATTACTTTTTTCAGACCACAATTTCAGATAATCTTTGGATAATTTCACTTCAGAGCAAATAATAACCAACCTAAATAGAATTAGATTTTTATTTATATGAATTCAATTTAATATTTTTGGCCCAAAGAACCAAATTAACAATCAAAGCTATACATGTATAATGGTGTCAACTAGAAGATGATTATGTCCTTGACATCTCTTATAAATATCACACACACTTCATATAATTAATATCCTTATACTCAAATACTATTAAAGTAGAAAACATGAGCCGGTACATAAGTAACACAACTGTTAAAGTTTTACATGCACATGTAGTAGCATGTCCTCACCTAGCACCGACGTAGGCCTGAATGACGTTGTCCAGGTTAAGTTTACACCATTCCTCCACGTCAAACGCAAATGTAGCACTGAACATGGCACGCCTCAAGCTCTTACCATCACAGGCTTTGTAGATTTCAGCTAACTGGAATACAGATTTATAACCTAACGATCTAACCATCACAGGCTTTGTAGATTTCAGCTAACTAGAATACAGATTTATAACCTAACGATCTAACCATCACGGGCTTTGTAGATTTCAGCTAACTGGAATACAGATTTATAACCTAACGATCTAACCATCACAGGCTTTGTAGATTCGAGCTAACTGGAATACAGATTTATATGCTAACGATCTAACCATCACAGGCTTTGTAGATTTGAGCTAACTGGAATACAAATTTATATGCTAACGATCTAACCATAGCAGGCTTTGTAGATTTGAGCTAACTGGAATACAGATTTTTAATTTAATTATTTGACCATCACAGATTTTGTAGATTTCAGTTAACTGTAAAATAAATTCATAAGTTAAGAATCTGACCGTTACTGATTTTGTAAACTTTCTGTTAAATGTAAAACATTTCTCAGATTTTCACCTTCATCCATCACTTGTGGAGGTAGTCTGCAATTTGTTCAACATTTGATTATATTGGCAGTAAAGCTTTATGCTATACCTGATCTCTGAAGCCTGTCTTGCCCTCCTCAAACAATTTATCAGATTCATCCACGACCAGCCATTCAACACTGCATAAAACAGATATGATTAATGGAAAATTAAACATCAATATAGAATAATTATTTAGAAATTTGATTTCATTCGATATAGTTATTTTTTTCTCCATAAAATTCATCATAAATATCTATATTAATTTTGATTACATAAAACATCTCAACAGGTTTTCTTAAACCTAAGTTTCTATGTATTTCGAGTCTTGTACCCATGATTCATATCTGGTTTTTTTTTAAAGAGTAGTATGATTCCAGATTTGGCAAAAATATCTAAAATATGGGTACTAGTATCTACTAAAATCTGCTATGTTTTCAATTGGTGAATATATGATGGACGGTAGATATTTTTGTACCTGTGGAGTCGTAAGCACTCTTGTTTCAACATGTACACCAGTCTGTTGGGTGTGGAGACTAGGATATCTACAGGGAACAGAGCACACAGGCTATCAATACACAAACAGATACAGAATACACTGGGGAAATCAATTAAACAGAATCACGTTTTATAATCAGACAACATGATAATAAATAGCAGAGTAACTGGAGTAGATAGTGAATTTCATTCTACAGAACATTTATGTTTCATATTATTTTGAGAAAGGAATGGGAGAAAAGGAGTCAAACATTAAATAAATGTCTGCGTCCTTCCTACAAATTCTCCATGGTAGACTATCATTATACCCACAACTACAAAACATAGACTTTATCAGTCCACAGCAGTGGTAGTCTAGTGTATCGGCTCAATCAAAGTCAACAATGTGTGGCAGATAGATTTACTACTAGTATAATGTATACCATGTTAACTAAATATTAGATGTTAGGCCTTCTTCATGCGGGTTTAAAAGAACTATATCAACTTCTGACTTAATTTTCCTTTAATATGACTCTTCCAGGTCCATATAACAATACATTTAATACTTATAAAATCTTACCAAACTTTTGAGATGATTTTGGGCCAAATTTCTTGATAGCGGTGCTTGCTTTCTCAATATAGTGTATCCTGAAGCCCCTTCCTTCTGACAGCTTCTGAAATTCTCTGTAAGTCTGAAATATTAATACAAAAATGTTTAGTGAGTAACAGGATATGATTGACCAGGCAGGTGTACCATGTGATTTCACAGAATCTCATACCCTGTAAGTATTACATTGAAGTTTTATTGTAGATAGTTTTTGTTCTATGCACATATTGATCTGAAGGTTCAATTTGTTAAGAAATGTAAACGGTAGGACAACCAAGTATTTGCAAAGAATTTGTAAAATAATGTATACAGTGGGGTGACCTATTATAAAGATTTACAAAACATGTGTTTAGATCAAAACAATTAATTAATGCTCGGTGTTAAAAGTTAGAATAACATACGTGCCAACCCTCCCTATTTAGGGGAAGACTCCCGATTTGTGACCCTTAAATTTAGCATTTTCAACCATGGAATTTGCTAAACTATTTCTAAGTTCTGAGATCTAATAATTTTATCTGAAAGAATAACTCAAATAATGTCGTTTTAAAGGGTTATTTGTCTCTAGAGTGTGTGTACACGTATCATTTATATTATAATTTTGGGCGTGCAGAATCTCCCCAATGGAAATTTCAAAACGTTGGCAAGTATGGAACAAGCAAACAACATGGTGTGTCACTATCATCGCGTACTATTAATCAAATACCAATCAACTGTTATTTTTAAAGCAAAATGACAAGATGACATGAAAATTGAAAGGTAGTACTTGTCTGGTCTTTAATTTTGATGCATAAAAAAAAAAAAAAAAAGATTTCTTGATAGTCATCCAGGTTTTAAACTACATATTCATGGAATGATATCCCCCTCACCATTTATATCTTCTTTATGGTCCATCAACCACACATGGAAATACAGGTCTGTAAATGACAGGTTTGTGACAATAGAGACTACATGTATTGAAGGAAAACTGTATACTGTCTATATATAGAATTTTCAAAACACCAAAGTATCATAACCGAACATGTGTTTAAACTAAAGGAAAGTGATTTGGTAGAGTTCAGTTGTTCATCTGACCTGTTTTGCTAATTCTCTAGTAGGGGCAAGCACAAGTGCTCTAAATCCTTGGTTCCTGGGCTCCTTCAGGTGGTGGAGTATGGGGATGATAAAAGCTGCAGTTTTCCCAGACCCTGTAGGAGCACACGCCATCAACTCCCTTCTCTGTAATGAATAGATATCAGTTGTCTGCAATATGTTGAATACAGTAGATTTCGCTTAATATCACTTCTCATTTGTCAGAGAAAAACATGATATTAACCAGAGCATGACATAAAAAGAAAACATGTTTTTCTGACCATTTCTGATGTCAAAACCTTGAAGTGACCATAATTAAATGTCCAAGTGTTATGGTTTTACAAAAAAGATCATTTAGTAAAAATATTTGTAACTGACACAGCTTTTCTTTATTAACAGTGAAATAATCGTCTTTTATTTGTGTATTTCATTGATTTGTTGTGACAGTTACCAAAATAAAGTGATATTAAGCAAAATCGAAACCAAAACAAGTGATAATATAAGAATTGAATTACATAGATTTTATAGCAGGAAAAACAGTGCATCAAGAAAACATGATAATAACAGAAAAGTGACATTAAGCGACATGATATTAAGTGAAATGTACTGTATAAACAGTAGCACATCACTATTACATGTAATGTCTAATTTTCATGCAATATGACAGATTCCTCAATTTCAAAGATGATCTCTATAAATACCAATTGATATTGTAAGAAAAGGCACAGGTCTCCTGACAAGTAAAGTGAGCTGTCATCGTTTATGTCTCTAATGAGGAACATGTATTTCAATGAAATCCACTCTATTTGAACAACCAGAAAACTGTCTTCTAAGGAACAATTGGGCCAGGACACTTCTGTCTAACAGGTTACTTGGTGGTTATTTTTACCCTCAGAACCCTGTTGTTGATTAGATTTTATGTCATCTTTATCAAAGCTATCAAAGTTTTATTAAGCTGGATTCATCAAAGCTATAGTTGTGGTTTCCAACACTTATTTACAGGATTTTGTCAGTGGGATCCTTAAAGAGCTCTTTCTTGCACAAAAATGTTAATACTAGTGTAAAGGTATTATGAAAACAATTTTTGCTATATGAGTAAATGGTGAGAATTTTTCTGTCAATGACCTTACATGTAACATGGTAGGAATGGCCTGCATCTGTATGGGAGTGGGCAGGTCATAGCCTGCTGCCTTGATGTTGCTGATGATCTGAGGATGGACATTATACTCATGGGCTAGCTGATCAAAGGTTTCCAGGAGGCGAGGAATGTCGGTACCATGGGTGTGGATCCTTTTCTTGTTCTTAACATAGTTGAGCTAAAAGCAAAAAAATGAAATGGAAATGTGACAACAAACATGTACAAAATATATCCATTATGTTATGTAACTGATTATTATTAGATAACTTTCTTATGCATGCTGTAGAATATGTAACATTTTATGTATACAAATTTTAACAAGTCTGTATTATTTCTTAAATTTGATATTTGATTTGAAATGCCTGCATATAGATTCAACATCATCCTTGTCTTGAAATATAATTATGCCAGTTGCTGTGATTTGCAGCTACATGCCTGGTATTATAAATGCTTTTGTATTGAATCTTTCTCTCTTATTCTTTTAATTTAAAGCAACATATGTATAGCCAAAATCACAGAATTTTGAAGCAAATTTGTTGCAAATAGGAATAAAAGTTTTAATAATTAATATGGAAGGTTTGGGAACGTTAACATTAAATGTATACCTGTTCTGTTTGTATTTGGGCCCTTTTCTCTAAAGATAGGTCCTTGGCTGCCTTTTTCTTATGTCTGTCTGGCTGATGTGTTATTTTCCCATTTTGTGACTTGATGTTGCCAAGTAACTGTAGTTCTGCTTCAGCCTCTTCATCACTATTTGGAGAATTGTTAGATGCAAAATCTTCTTCTGAATGTGATTCATCTTCTTCACTCCTAGAGTCTTCAGATTCTTCTTCTGAAAGAAAATAATATGACTCTTTTCACAGAATTTTTAAACAGAAATAGAAGGTCAATTAAATTTCACCCTGTTCATGTTTGAAAGAAATATATGGTGGGCAATCAGTTTAAAATCATAACCGTCAAACTGATGATCAATTTTTAATCGGAAATAGCTATATATATAGTAAACCAATTGATCATTGATTGCACAATCGTTTAATTATTTTATGGGAATAAATACTCAAATTGGACATCAATACATGTATAGAATTATTAGTTATACATTTGTTTTGTTCTTTTATAATACATTAATAACAAGTAATTTTTATGCAGTTTTTCTTCCTCTTCATATAATGAAATTAATAAGAATAAATGACTTCCAAAGCATACTTTACATTTTATACATTTGACACTAAGTTCAGTATAGTGAACTTATCATATTGCTAATGGAATTTGTAATCAATAATCAGAATTGGAATGGGACAAACAATTAATTTTCCATTATAATTGATCATTAGCCAATCAAAAAAAAAAAAGTACCCTTGAATTTCTTCCTTGATTGATCTCTTTGTTGTGATACTTTCCTTTTCAGAGTCGAAATTTGAGTCTTTTCATTCTGGTTTTGTTGTTGGGTAGCTGGGCGTGTTAACTACAAAATTGAATGTGACTTCAGCTCACACATTTTATTACTCCTATAACATAAGAGGCCTCTAGTCGGCCTTTTTTCTAAAACCTCTAACATATTGTTGGAGTAACATTATTTAAGTTGAATTCAACAGGTTGGGCACAACCTGTCATATGGGTAATGCTCCTTCATTCAATTCTTTAATTACTATGGGGATTTTGCCAAACCTGTTCAATACGAAATAGATTAAGGTGTTACATCTACATCTTTTTTTTAAAAATATCAATATCTTTTCTTCTTCTCTTTCAATTGTTCTAGCAATAGCCTCCTGGAAGTTAAAATACAAGATAACTGTCCTGTAGGCTGTAATGTGACTCAATTTTTCTGTTTTTTTTTTTTATTCCGGGCAATATTTTGTAACAATCTCATTATCCTACGATTAATACCGATCAATGACAATTCCGTACTACCTTAAATAACTCAGCATCTTTCTGGAATCTTTGAACATTAAACTTTACACCAACACCAAGTTTCTTAAACAAGTCATATCCATCCATGCTGCCAGTAAATAAACCGGATGTAGAATTCAGCTCGAGTATATGACTTTTGAGTTATTTCCCTTTGGTATTGATATATTTAAGTGATTGTTTAAAATATATCTGCTTTGATACAAATTCATCAACACAAAACATCATTTAATGACATTTTGAATTATATTTCGGGCAGATATCTGTGCATTTCGCTTTTACTTTATACTTTCTGGTGTAAATTTTCTCGAATATTCTTTTCATAGAGGGCGTTCTTACGACTTCCGGGAGATTTCCAGAAACGTGCCGAACAGCGTTGACTGTAACGAAGCGGTGTCAGTAAACACTTTAAATTAGACAATAAAGAAATAAGTGTATTTTCTCAAACGCAACGGTCCTGATTATTTGACTAAAAATGGCAAAATGGGGAGAAGGAGATCCTCGGTGGATTGTAGAAGAAAGACCAGACGGTACTAACGTAAATAACTGGCACTGGTAAGTTGATATGCTCAGCTGATGTCACTGATGGACAACGACGTTTCTACCGAGATGATCACATATATATATTGAAAACTGGAACTTAACTTAAAATTTTACTGCGATTTACATTTTCTAATGGTTTTGTTCTATGGTCTGTTCTTTCACTTAATCTATCCACATTGTCCATCCTAAAAAAAATTCAATTCATTTTGATCTTGTACGTATGTGTGTTTTTTTGTGACGATTTTGTATTATTTGGGCTTATTTGTGGTTTAAATCAATCCTGTTGTATATAGTTAAAGATTTTGTTTATCTTAATCTGTTAATATCATATTGTCGCTGAACCCTGAGCACAGGTACGTATCGCAAATATGTGAGAGAAAAAAAGGTTCGAACCCAGGACCCTCTGAACTAGATGGACGCTCAACCAGTTGAGATACCTGGTCACCAATGCTCGACCAAGTCTAGTTCCGCTACATACCTCACTTTTTAAACAAAGTCTTAGAACCTCCAGAAGACACACTAAACCCTATACCACCATCCGTGGGTATATTTGGTGGGCCAAATGTAACGGGTGAAAAAGAAATGCACGACCAGACCGTGTTTGAAACTAGGATCCTCCAAAATTTAGATTGACACTCAACCAGTTTAGCTACCTGGTCACCAACCATTGACCCAGTCTAATTTCGCTACACCAATTAACAGAAAGATTAAACAGGAAAACAAAGTCAATGCTATTTCAAATGTTGGTCGGTAAAAGGTAATTGTACTCAACAAGATTGTCAAGAATTTGAAGAACTTCATAATGAGGCAGGCAGAATTGTGAGTGGAGCAACAAAATCTGCATCATCCAACTCAATTTAATTTGAAACTGATGGGAAACCTGGTTCCACTGCACTAATAAACAGAAAGATTAAACAGAAAAATAGAGCCAACGTCAGTTCAAAAGTGAGTGGGTTGTTCAGTGGGGTGCTGCGCTTGTCGGACCATCTTGAAACCTTAATACATGTAAAAAGGTATTGCACTGGCTGTCAAACAGAAAGTGAATTTCAAACAAGGACCAACACATGTTAAAAACTACACGTAGACAACTCTCCTGCTTCAGATACTTTATAACAGTGTGTCACACATAACTGTGTCCAGAATGGGTACATGTTTTTGTTGGGTTCCAAGTACTCCAACAATGTTAGAGGTTTACATGGCAAGATACTTTTGACAGGCGCTGTCGCAGTCGGCAAAAACATATACAATAGGAAAAAGGCCGACCAGTGGCCTCTTTATGTTATAGGAGTAGGTCCCAGGTTGCTTATTTGGTTAAATCGTTATCCAGAGTTGGGAGAACCCATGTGTAAACTCCAGTCTGATCGTGGTGTTTAACCTCTTGTTACACTTCATTTGTAATCAGTTCACTGCAGCATTACTGAACACACAGTATGACATTATATATGTTTGATTTTGGAGTCATTCAGTCATTTGCATATATTTGTCTGGAGTATAACAGTTTTCATTACCCAAAATTTCTTTTCTAACTATATATTGAAACTATCATAGTGTACTTTCTTTTGTAGGACTGAGAAGAATGCCACAAATTGGTCAAAAGACAAACTGAAGGAACTATTAAATGGATTAATTGTTGAAGATGATGAATGTGAGTTTTTAAGAATAGGATTGGTTTTAGATCAATGAAATGTCAGTTCTTCATGATAAGATGTCATATTTTTCTTGTTTCATAAACAAAAATAACAATGACAATAATCATTGCTATGAACTTTTGTTGAACAATCTGACATTGTTTTGTTACTTTGTTTACAAACAATATTTTATTCTATTAATATAGCAAAGATGGCTCTCGAGTGCCTTTTTATTTTTATAGGAAAATATTGGAACCTTTCACAAAATTGGCAAAATATGTCTATTTTTATTGATAAAACATTTTTGTTATGCATTTATCATAAAACTCAGAAATTATTTGATCTTAGATGAAAAAGATGCATTCATGACACTTTTTGATTTGCCAAAAAAATGGGAATGTATGCTGGTAGCTTACCAGTAAATTCTCCACGAGAAAAAGATAAAATTCTGCCAGAATTTTAAAATGCATATTAGGCATTTCAAATTGCATCCAATGGCTTGTTAATTTACACTAAGCTTTTGTTTAGTTGTTCTACTTATCATGCATTGTATGTGCACTTTTCAAAACTAACTGATTTGGAAAACATATTTTGTTGAAGAGTCTTCCAAACTATATTTGATGATTAAAACATTATAAGTTTATATAGCCAATTTAACATCATGTAGAATGTGCTGTGCCTTTTAGCAGGAATTGCATGTTAAAATGCAAAAAAAAACCACAAAAAAACCTTGTATATATATATCTTTTGCAGGTTACTGTGAAATAAATTCCATGACAACATTAGATGGGGAAGCTTCAGCAAATAACAGAAAAGGAAAACTTATATTCTTCTATGAATGGACTATTGCAGGGGAATGGTCAGGTAGGGTGTTGTTTATATATTGTATGAATTATTACCTTACTTTAAAGAAACACTCAACCCCAAATTTACCTAGAAAATCTTGCATGATCAATTTATTTAGTTCAGCGTAGAAAGAAATGTCAATTAATTGTAAGTTGAAAAAACCAAGATAAAAATAAAAGAGTTCACAGTTGATGTTCTTTCCAATAGTCACATGAACAATGAAGTTATGATAAACCAACCACATCCTAATCTTCCATTGTCGTGACCTCCATAAAGAATTTCTATAAATATGAACTAACTTCTTTTTTATAGGAAACCTTAAAGATGGTGTTAAGAAACATAAAGGGAAGTTTGAAATTCCAAATTTAAGTGAGGAAAATGAAGCTGATGAAGTAAATGTACGTACCATAATTACTGATTAATCCAATTATTTCTGGGTTTGGACTCAACCTTTATAAAAATGTTACTTAGAATTAAGTATCCCTGTACCACTGCCAAAAACTGTAACTAATTATTGGATTTTTTTTCTGGCACGACCATAGCTTTAATAAATTAATAAAATTATTTCTGAAAATAAGACCATTCCTTGCCGGACATTTTTGAAAAAATGATAAAGATGAAATAAACAAAATATGATCAAAACAGTGTTTTGAGTGTAAATACAAACACTGCAGGGCTAGACCCAGATTCGAACCCTGAACCCTGACTGCTTATCTATTGCTATAACTGGTAGGGATACTTGGCTGACGGAAGTGTTCTGACCCAATTATACTTATTCTACAGTGTTATCCTAAAGGAAGTTAAGGGGAGATTACTGCATATAGGATGTTTGGTTTGGTTCAGTATTGTTTAACGTCCTATCAACAGTTATGGTCATTTAAGGACGGCCTCCCCTGTGTGCAAGATGTGTGTAGTGTATGCATGTTTTTTTGGGATGCTGCGATATGTTTGTGTATGTCTCNCAAGATGTGTGTAGTGTATGCATGTTTTTTTGGGATGCTGCGATATTTTTGTGTATGTCTCCTTGTAATAGCGCGGAATTGATGCTGACTTTATAGTGCTACCTCACTGAAACATACTGACAACGGGCGAACCAGTCATCCCACTCCTAAATTACTGAGCGTAAAGCAGGAGTAGAAACTACCATTTTTACACACTCTGGTATATCTCGGCCAAGGGACAGAACCCAAAGCCTTCCTTACACGTGCGAACGCTCAACTAAAGGCCAAAAGTGAGGCATTGTCAAGGGAGACATTAGGACGAAGAAAGTTGTTTAGAAAGGAGAGAAAAGATAAGATCCCAAATTTAGTCGCCTGTTATGATCATGCAATGTGGGCAGCAGGTACAATTCTTACGCCCTACCTGCAGGGACTTATAGGAAAAAACACAGTGCAGTGGGACAGGGATCATTTAAAAAAATCTGAATTGTTGTCTTAATCTGTTAATCTATGCTGGATATGTTTCTAGCGCATTACACAGAATTTGAAAAAACAAAACATTTTAATTTGGCATGAGTGAAACTAAATAAATATATATACTTTGTATGCATGCAGTCTGAAATGTTCATGAGAAAACATGTTTTTGTATTTCTTATTTTCTTCAGTTTGAAGTGACAATTGACAAAACAACAGATGAATCATATAAAGTAAAAGAAATGATGAGAAAGAAAGGCCAAGATTTAGTTCGGAAGCAGATTGCAAAGTACATGAAAGAGCTGAAAGAAGGTACAGTTTTGTTTGTTTGTTATTGAGGCTACTGTACTGTGTGTGGAGTCAGTGTCAAATGTAAAAAAACCTTTATATTATTAATCTCCCTTTGTTATTGAATAAAAAATCAATAGTGTGGAAGGGTTGGAGATGTACACCAAAACACCCCTTAAATATATTTGCTAAAAATAAATACCTAGTGATCAACAGTTCTTAAATATTATTAGCACAAAGATCACATAGGCCAATGAGACTATTTCATGTAGAATTGGCATGGCTTTACTTTAAATATTTGCACAGCAAAATGTTGCATATCAAAATATATGATTAACATACTGTTTGACCTATTAAGGACGTAAAAGGAAAATAATGCCCAATTTCTTAAAAGATCAACAAAACTTATCTGGTTGTACATCTTCATGCAGCAGAGTGTAAATATTGCGTAACAAATTTAGGTCACTTTGACCGTAATGTTCAGATCACCAGAGTAAAACATTGTCCGAAACATGCCCTTGAGTGTATGTGGCATGGTTGTGATTCGGCCTTTTTCAGAGCACTTACTCTTTTTTTCCCTTGAACTTTTAAAGTCCTTGATTTATACTGAAACATAAATGAGTTTGAAGTATTTAAGGGAGTGTGGTGTGCTCTTCCATTTTAACTTTGATTTCCTCCATTGGTTCTGATCCCCAATTTAACCATTAGAACAGTAGCGTTGTGTTTGTCTGAGCAGTGTCCATCTTTTCCACTGCCACTCTCACATTACTTAATGTTGTATTTAAACATGGTTGCATCTATAAAAAATTGTAGCTATTAAAATTATTTTGTTGTTGTTGTAGAATATGGAAAAGGGATTGTCCTTCCCACCAAGGGAAGTGCTACAACGACTGCCACAGAAAAGAAACACACTGAAGTAAGTTTTTGTGACAAAAAATACAAGCTTCTTCTATTTGAACTAACTGGGTATTTCAATATTTCCATCTCCCTTGTTTGAGGGGATGCATCTTAGGATCTGTCTCCAAGGTGTAAGTGAAAATGTATGGTCTTATCTTAAATATCATATATTGGGGAGTACAAACCTTTGAAATATTGATAAATCATTCTATTAAATATCAAATAAACATTTATGAATGATGGCACTTTTGATTAATTTTTTAATTCATACATAATTTCAGAACAAAATGCGACAAGAAATGAACAAAATGATAATAAATCAGTCAAAAGAAAAAGTGGGTGTGAGAATCCATACCAAGACACTCACAGACAAGGAAGAATTCAAGTGTCGTGCAGAGGACCTGTACAGAGCTTTAACAGATAAGGAGGTAAGATTGCTATAGAAACATTATATAACTGTCTTGAAATTACAATTTGAAATTAGAATTTACGAACTGATGGGACATTTACTTGTACAGTGTTGTGCATTCTCTGTAACCTCTTGTATGTGTCAACTGCTTTCATCCTAATACTGTTGCAAGATTTTCTGTGGAAATACATTAATTTAGCTAATTTAATTGTTCAGATTCAAAAATAGACTCTACTTATCACAGTGTAGATTGTACCATAGAAATCTTCAACAAACTAGTTCATTTAGTAATATAGGATATTATTACAGAAAATCAACATTCAAAACATTTTTCACTTGCTATACTGATATATAGGTTGAGTATCATGTATTAATTTCATGCATCATGTCACTTTCATACATAGAGTTATAGCCCTTTGTTATTTCCTTTGTAAACCCTTAACATATTTGGAATGTTGTCTAGTTTTAGTTAAATTGATTTTTTTGCATTTTTATCACAGATTTTTTTTTGCAGGTAATAAGTAAATAACATGCTGTATACCCAATATTGTGATTCTCCATCTTTTCAAATTGTTTCCATTATTTTCCATCTCCATACACCTGTCCTATGCTGTATCCTTTATCTCACACCTCCAATTACTGAACATTATACATGTACAGTTAGTTAAATGTACGCACATGGCAAACTATTGTCATATTTTGTTCCAACCCCGTGTTACACTTGTTTACTGATAATATTTGATCTGTCTCTAACTTGACCGGAATTATGTTTTGATTAGATGGTGCAGGCTTTTACCAGTGGTCCTGTATCAATGGAGGTGGAGAAGGGTGGACGATTCTCATTTCTCAATGGGAATATCACAGGGGAATTTGTGGAATTGGTAAGCTGAACACTTTGCTCTTTTAAAAAAAAAAAGTTTTGACAAACTTGATTACTTTATTGTGTTTGACATTAAAAAAAGTTGCACATCTGACCAACATGTATTTTATTACAGTGCCGTAGTTTTTGAAAGATTTTGCTACTTTATATATTACAGCAAGTTAAAATAGGACAGGGAAACCTACCATTGCCCCCAGGCCCACCCCACATTCAAAATAACAACCATTTTACTTAATTACTAGTCCTAGAGCCTTTTCATTTTTTTCCAAACTTTGTTGAGGACCTCTCTGTCTATCAATGGCAGAGATGGTAGAGTAAATCCAAATTTGAAATTGTCTTCCTTCCCCAAGATTTATATATTGATTATGCAATTGTCATTTATTAATAGCCTTTCTAATAGGGCTGTCACCATATATCAGAAAACAGGTGTATCGCAATACACAGGTATATCGTATCGTACCACAATACAGAGATGAAATATTGCTGTATCGCAATATTTTTCAAAAGCATATTTTGTATGTATCTGTTTAGTGTTTTAACTTTGCAATTTACTACAAATTCTAACAGATATGCCAATAAGCAATCTAGGTAATCCATATCATATATGATTAAGTTTGATAACATTCTAACAACTCATTGTAAAAATTGAGCACATCCTTCCTATGACAATATATTGGGACATGTATCGCAATATGTTCTGTTCATTCTGTAATGCAATATATCGTGATTCCTCTTGGCGCATTGTGACGCCCCTACATCTAATGGTACATATTACATGTACATTAGCACTAAGCAGCATTAAAGAAAACAATGAATACATTGAACCCCGTGGTTATTTCCTTGTTGCCACTTCAACAAAATTGTGATCACTGAAATTCTCAGTTGTAAAATATGCTTTTTTTCTCAAAATGTCATATTTATGCATTTTTTTCTCAGAATGTATGGTCAAAAACATTATTTTGTCAGTTATGTTTTTTCATTCAATTAAATTATGTCACAATAAAATTTATGTAATCACTGTATGATTTATTTTGTTATAGGTACAACCAATGAAAATCGTTCAAAGGTGGAGAGTGAAAAATTGGCCAGAGGAACACTATTCAGTGGTGACCTTTGACCTGGTAGAGAAGGAGGATTGTACAGTATTGAATATAACACAAACAGGTGTCCCCGACACTGAACTAGAAAAAACCCGTGAAGGTTGGAAAGTGAACTACTGGAACAGAATCAAACAAATATTTGGATTTGGCTCAAACATATTTTGTTGACGACGTGTTTATATAAATGCGAGAAATTGGTACATTAGAAAAAAAACTAGGTTATAATTTACCCGAGAGGTTTTTTGGGGAGTTCACAATCAACGGACCCTGATGAGCTATTTGATCTCCCTGTGACATTCATAAAAGTTAATGCCGTGGCCTCCTTGCCAGAGGGAAAACTGATGAACTGGAACACAGACATCATATTGCATGTCGTTCAAGTAGCTTTGTCAGTTCTTTCAGTTGAACAGATCCAATCAATATCAATGAATTCAATATGAAATTAGGGAACATTGTCTACTGTTTATCCTGATTTTTCAAATAGATGCGATAACTTCTCTCCAGATATATGATAACACCACAGAGAAACTGGTATGGTAACCGGCTGTACGATAGCATTGGATCCATACATTTCCTACTTTTGTCACACACATGAGTTTTGTTGTTGTTCATGTTGGACTTTGACTAGTAATAAACAAGAAATGAATTGATTAAAGACAATAATACCAGGATAACCTTGACATTTATGTGACTATACAATTTCTGTTATCGAGTCATACAATATATTTTTATGTTCCTACTATCAGTGTCATCATTCCACCACTTTCACTTCTCGTTTCCTTGTGATGAATCTGTATACAATAGCATTTAGTACACAAATACCTCTACCAGATTTGCAACTCGGAGTTATACCCAGATAGTTCCAAGGTCAAGGTCACCATTATTTTAAAAAGAAAAATTTTGTTATCTCTACTGGCTTCATTTTTCTTTTGGTTTTTGATGAAACTTAATGCAAGTATTCATTATACAAATACCTTGAACATGTTTCGGGGTCGTGTTTGTAAAGGTCAAGGTTACTGTTATTATAAATAAACCTATTGTCATCATTCTACTGTGTGCATTTCTCTTCTGATGTGGATAAAACCTTATACAAATATTGAGAACAGAAGTGCCTGTGAGCTTTAGTTATGGTGCAGTGTCCATCGTCTGTCCATCTGTCATCTTCAGCTTCTTCTTGGAAACTAAAAGACTGGGGGTCCTAATGTTTGGGCTGTAGGTACATTAAATGGATTGCTATAAAGTTTCCTCATATAAATGACCTTTACATACTTTACCTGTCTCGGAGTTCAACTGAGTTAATAATTTCCAACAACATTATCTAAAATGAGTTCAACTAAGTTAATAACTTCCAACGACATTATCTAAAATGATATGGTCTGGAGCCAAATTACTTGGATTTGTTATGTAGACTAGCAGTTTAATTAATTATTTTATGTATAATGTTGAGGTCAAGTTCAACTTTGACTGCAGGCTTTAAGGATCTTCCTTAGTTACACAAAACCTTAATATTTTGCATTTGATGCTTAAATAACCAGGCGAGTGATACATGCCCTTCAGGCATTTTGTTTAAATTTGAATACCGATCTGACTATTTTACTGAAAATTACAGTGGAGCTTGATTATTTTCACGTATTTGTGTATGTTACTCCTTTACCAAAGCATTTAGTTATACTTTACCTCCATACCTACCACATGTAAGAACATTTTGACTAAATGGGACACAATGATATGAATTTTATTTTATGATTTAGTATCATGTATTAATATAAAAAAGGAATATTAAATTATGACTGAATAAATTTATAATGTGAAAATTGAAATGAAATTTCTTAAGACAATATCATGTTTTTGTTATGCATGTTCTTCCTGAACAAGTGTGATCTGAGATGTGAATACACAATGTAATAGGGTTGCTTTGCGGTCGGATGTATTACAGAACTCATGAATTATTTAGTAATTCCCTTGTGACGTACAAAACATTAAGGAGACAGAAAATACAATGCTGTTGCTACTTCTCCAGAGTGGCTTGTCTTTATGGAGTGATTTTTTTCCAACAAATGTATATAAAACTTTTGTACTGGAAGTATTGAGTGTGATATAAGGTAAATGAGGCCTGAGAAGACATTTTGTTTTTCTGTTATTTTAATCTGTCAGACAAAATGGTATATGCAAAAATAATGAGTGATCATTATTTTGCTTCTATAAATTGACAACATGCCTATAAAGAGTCCAGGTAAAATTTATTTTAATGTTTAAGTAACATAATGCTACACATAGGGTCTGTTCTTCTGAAATTATATTACCTGGTATTCTACAATCTCACTTTCATAGTTGGTCTAGGTAATGTATTTAGACCCAACTCTTCGTGGCACTTTACACCATTAAGCTACAGGCTAAATATCATGACCATAGGACTCTTGGATGCACAGAAAATGTAGATTAACACAATTGACCCCTTATGAGCTAAGAATTGTGTCAAGGTCATTCGTTTGATAACTTGATAGACCTCTAATCCAGCATGTCAAGAGTTCGGGAAAGTCATTAAAGTCATAAAATGCTGTACCCGATTTGTTGCATGTGATTTTTAACCCAAATTATCAAATGAATGCACAATCTACAAATTAGGCAGGGCCGATATGGGTAATCACAATATAACTGGAGCACATAACAAAATACTGAAATACAGAATGAATGTCTTTATTTACATATCATGATTTTTTTTTGTCACAGGGAAAAGTGTTGTTTCTCTGAAAATGGCACTTAATCTCTTGGGAATGTATTCTCAACATTAGGCCCAGAGGGCCTGTATCGCTCATCTGAAAATGTTAGCAAAATTGAAGTTGAAATAGCCAGATGTTGCTGTACATGTATTACATGGTTAGTCAGGGGTTATATTTATTTATATGCAATTGGACAAAATCCTGTCATTCTTACAGAAACAAGAGGCCCACTGGTGTTACTGGAAGACCCACCATTTATACAAAATTGGTTGCCTTCACCCAAGAGTGCTTCATCCAAAATTTAATCAAAATCTTGTCATTCCTACAGAAGAAGAAGGATTTTGAAGAATTTGCTGTTTCCCCTATAGGGCTCAGGCCCCAGGGGGTCCAAACCCACCATTTATACAAAATTGATTTCCCTTCCAAACATAATGCTACTGTTTAAATTTGGTCAAAATACCTACATCCCTACGGAATAAGAAGGAAATTAAAGCTATTCCTCTATATCCCTTATTGGGCCCCACCTCTCAGCCCCCAGGGGAGTCAGACCCATTGTTTATACAAAATTGCTTCCCCTTAACCCAAGGATGCTTCATACCAAATTTGCACAAAATCCTGTCATTCCTACAGAAGAAGGATTTTGAAGAATTTGCTAGGTTTCTCCTATTGGGCCCCGCTCCTCAGCCCCCAGGGGGGCCAAACTCACTGTTTATACAAAATTGAGTCCCTTTTGCCCATAGATACTCCAGACCAAATTGGGATGAAATCCCTTAATGCCTATGGAAAAATAAGGGTTTTAAAGGTTTTACCTTTATTTCCCATATTGGGCCCCGCCCCTCTGCCCTGAGGAGGGCTATACACCCACTGTTTATACAAAATTGAGTTCCCTTGGCCCAAGGATGCTCAAGACTAAATAAGGATAAAGTCCTTTAATCCCTATGGTAGAAGAAGGATTTTAAAGGTTATACCTCTTTTTCCCCTATTGGGCCCGCCCCTCTGTCCCGAGGAGGTCCACACTTACCATTTATACACAATTGAATCCCCTTGGCCCAAGGATGCTCCAGACTAAATTAGGATTTAATCCCTACGGTAGAAGAAGGATTTTGAAGTTTTTCCCTATATCTCCCCTATTTGGCCCCGTCCCTCTGCCCCAAGGGGGGCCACATCCACCATTTATACAATATTGAGTCTCCTTGGCCCAAGGATGTTCCAGACCAAATTGGGATGAAATCCCTTAATCTCTACGGTAGAAGAAGGATTTTTTAAGGTTTTACCTCTATTTCCCCTATTGGGTCCCGCCCCTATGGCCCCAGGGGGGCCACATCCACTGTTTATACAAAATTGAGTTCCATTGGCCTAAGGATGCTCCAGACCAAATCAAAATCTACTTGGCCGTTCAGGACTAGTAGCGTTTTAAAGGAAAAGTTGACCGACGGATGCTGCGGTATGGCATAAGCTCACCATGGTCCTTCGGACCAGGTGAGCTAAAGTAAGAAGAAATTAGTTCCCCTTCACCCAAGGATGCTTTAGGCCAAATATGGAAATAATCCTCCTACAGAAGAAGATTTTTATATAATTTGCTAAATTACCCCTATGGAGCCCCAGGGGTGTGAGACCCACCATTTATACAAAATCGATTTACCTTCCCAATAGGATGCTACTGTTCAAATTTGGTCAAAATACCTTCATCCCAACAGAAGAAAAAGGAAATTAATGCTATTCCTCTATATTCCTTATTGGGCCCACCTCTGCCCCGAGAGGGGTGAGGCCCACCGTTCATACCAAATTGGGACAAAATCCTGTCATTCCTACAGCAGAAGAAGGATTTTGATGAATTTGCAATGTTTCCCCTATTGGGCCCCACCCCTCTGCTCCCAGAGGTGCTTCACTCACTGTCTATACAAATTGGGTCCCTTTTGCCCAAGGATGCTCCAAACCTATTGGGATGAAATCCTCCCTTTGGTAGGAGGACTTTTAAGCTTTTACCTCTATTTCCCCTATTCAGCCCGCCCCTCCTCTCCCAGGGGAGCCACACCCACAGCTTATACAAAATTGAGTCCCTTGGCCCAAGGATGCTCCAGACTAAACAAGAGGCCCATAGGGCCTGTATCGCTCACCTGGATATCTAAGCAATCATGGCAAAATATTCTCCAAATGAGATCCAGGGGAATATGCCAGACCCCAAGGCCAATCCTTATAGCATATATATCTGTATTCGATTTTTCATGCCCAACAATTTTATGTATGGTTATGGGGTGGGGATCTCAACTGTTTCCAAGCTGTGACTCAGAAACTAGGTCCCTACGGTTGTGGCCAGACCCCAGTCTCAATTCTAATATCATGACTGCATTCGTCTCTCTTTGCTCAACTGTTTCCAAGATAGTTTTGGGGTGGGGATCTCAACCGTTTCAAAGTTATGACCCAGGGGTTAAGTCTGCAAGGGTGGGGCAAACCCTGGGGTCAATTCTAATATCATGACTGCATTCGTCTCTTTATGCCCAACAATTGTATATATAGTTCTGGGGTGGGAATCTTAACCATTTCGAAGTTATGACCCAGGGGTTAAGTCTCCAAGGGTGGGGCAGTCCCCAAGGCCATCCTGGAAGCATATGTGCATTCATCTCTTTATACTCAGCAATTGTCTCTATGGTTATAGGGTGTGGATCTCAACTGTTTCCAAGCTATGACTAAGAAACTAGGTCCCTAGGGGTTAGGTCATACCCCAAGGTCTATTCAAATGTCGTGACTGCATTCGTCTCTTTATGCCTAGCATTTGTATATATAGTTTTGGGGAGGGGATCCCAACTGTTTTAAAGTTATGGCCCAAGGACTATGTTTCCAAGGGTGGGGCGAAACCCTAGGGCCATCCTGTAAGCAAATGTGCATTCTTCTCTTTATACTCAGCAATTGTATATGTGGTTATATGGTGGGGATCTCAACCATTTCCAAGCAATAAACTTTTGTTGGCCCCACCCCTTAGCCCAGGGGGTCAGCCCCACCATTTGTACAATTTTGAATCCCTGCCTCCCATGAATGCTTCCGACCAAATAAGATTGATATCCATGGCATAGTTCTACAGAAGTCGTTTATAGCAATATAGCCAAATTGCCCTCCTTTGGTCCCGCCCTCAGCCCGACCATTTGTACAATTTTGAATCCCCACCACCTAGGGCTGCTTACAGTTTAATATGGTCGATATCCATCACTTGGTTACAGAGAAGAAGTGATATCCATGGCAATAGCCAAATAACTTTTTGGCCCCGCCCCTCAGCCCCCTGGGGGGTCAGCCCAACCATTTGTACAATTTTTAATCCCTGCATCCCATGAATGCTTTTGATTAAATATGATTGATAACCAGTGCATAGTTCTACAGAAGAAGCCGTTTGTAGAAATATAGCCAAATTACCTCTTTTGGGCCCCACCCTCAGCCCCCTGGGGGGATAGCCCAACCATTTGTACAATTTTGAATCTCCACCACCTAGGGATGCTTCCAGTCAAATATGGTTGATATAAATCCAGAGAAGAAGTTGCTTAAAGCAGTATAGCCAAATTGCCCCCTTTTTGGTCCGCCCCTCTGCCCCCTGGGGGGTCAGCTCCACCATTTGTACAATTTTGAATCCCCACCACCTAGGGATGCTTCCAGTGAAATTTAGTTAAATTCCAATCAGTGGTGAAGAAGTCGTTAAAAGAAATTGTTGACGGACGGACGACAGACGCCACGGTATGGCATAAGCTCACCTTGGTCCTTCGGACCCGGTGAGCTAATAAGGATAAAATCCCTTAATGCCTACAGTAGAATAATGATTTTAATTACCTCTTTTACCCCCATTTGGCCCCACCCCTCTGCCCCACCCAACAATTATACAAAATTGAGTCCCCTTGGCCTAAGGATGCTCCAGACCAAATTTAGTCAAAATCTACTTAGCCGTTCAGGACTAGTAGCATTTTAAAGGAAAAGTTGACGGACAGATGGACGATGCGGTATGGCATAAGCTCACCATGGTCCTTTGGACCAGGCAAGCTAAAAATTATGTATCATATTGAAGAAGGTTTATGTGTATACAGAGATTTAGATTTTCATCGAGCCCATCATCAAATGTGAAATTTCAAACGATTTCCACCACTAGCTGGTAAAAGCCTGTTAAATTGTTATCAGCCGACTTGTAGTAGATCTGCATAGTTAGAACATCAGACTTTGAAAACATTTTTTCCATAGTAGCAATATTTTATTTTTATATTGCCATGTGATACAATATTAATGCGTATTGAAACAAGTCTGTTTTCCATTATTCAAAATTATTGTGACAGCCCTAAGAGCAAAAATAGCATTTTCTAGACTTTGTATGAAAAAATTCACCAAACAATATTTATGATGCAAGATCTTCTGGGAACTAAGTTTGAAAGGTTTCAGTTTGTAATTTTTTCCTCATCAAGTAATGGTGGAACATTGTTCTTGATGTATGTGGAAAGACATTTCATCTCTTTCAAAATGGTGCCCAAGGACACCTGATTTCTTTCAAAATCGTGCCAAAGAACACCTGTAATGTTGAACAAGTTCTTCATACCAGATAATATTTGATCTCTTCCGTATTCTTATTACCAGGTACCTTAGATTCACATGACATAGGTACATGGGTAAATATTCTGCTTACAACTGTGTTTCGTGGTAAAATCTTTAAAAACTCAGTGCAGTAAACACAAAACCAAAGATTGAAAATACTGATGACTTTTTTTATTCTTTGTTCAAAAAAGATGTTTCTATATGAATTATCACCAGCACAGTAAGTATGGAAGCGATTGCAGTGACAATTATAAATAAAAACAAAGTATTATACAGACTGTAGTTTGGTCAAGGATCATTGTTCTTTGGTACATCACCATACATACCACACACTCTTCTACGCTCACAACACCAACCTTACTGATGAATAGCTGTATCCAGAAGTCAGAATAACTCGACAAATCCACGCTTCATACATAGATCTAGCAATTAGCTACCATACTTCTGACCAGCCATGTCAAAGGGTACTGGTTGGATAAAAGTGTGTCGGTTTTGGCATTACTAGGTATGCAAACTGCAGGACATATTTTGACCTAGCTTCAGAACTGACGTTTATGTTATCTGACAGTTGTTTGACCTAGCTTTAAAACTGACGTTTATGTTATCTGACAGTTGTTTGACCTAGCTTCAGAACTGACGTTTTTGTTATCTGACAGTTGTTTGACCTAGCTTCAGAACTGACGTTTGTGTTATCTGACAGTTGAACTGACTAAACCAACAATATCAAAACTTAAGCACATGGCGAGTGCCTTACGATGTCAAGTTAGCCATTGGAAGTTATCAGGATTAATTTATACACAAATAGTATAAAATATAGTACCAGGCTTAATACATATAAACAGTTTATCAAACCAAACCCTTTCTCATGGTAGGTCATAATATATCAACTCTTCTCTGGAACACAAGTCGCTTAATGCATACAAATCTCTAGTCTGATATGAACCACTTGGTGGTAAAATGAGAAGAACACAGGCATCACTGATAATGGACCATAATGTCATGCATTATTTAAAAATTCACAAAGGAGATCTGAACAGTGCACAATCATAAGAAAATATAACGATTCTACTTTTACAGTACATGAAGCAGTATTTTGCATTTTTATGTCATAAATTTTGCTTACATGTAACATTTCATTCATCACAGTGTTACTTTTATACACAGAAATCTTCCATTATTTTTTTCGCAGCATCTTTCAGCAACAACAATTAACATATTTCACAAAAGGTTGTACAAGGTATCATAACAGTGTCTGCGGCAGAAGCATCAACAACATCACATGTTTATCATCTGGTGAAGTTTACTAGCCAATCCAAAAAACAAGCTCCAGTATGTATTCCATAAATCTAGTCGGACTAATGGAGCACTTGGTAAGCTCCAGACCGGGATGAAAATTTCAGGCACATGGACTTTTGGTTTTGATGAAACAACCATACAAATGGTCTGAACTAAAACACATTTGACCAAATCAGTAGTCATCCTTATTAATTTTGACTTTCTTCTAAGAACCCTTTCCCTAAAAAGTTGGGGACACTATAGTGCTGTTAGCTGATCTGCTGGATCTATGGAACAGACTTACAGAACTTGTCTAATATTTAATACAGTTTACGTAATATACACATTTATGAGTGTATACTTAATTCAAACAAGTACAAGTACTCTTTTCTTCTTTAAATGTAAAACTTAATTTATGCCTTGGAAGACTTTTCCAAGGCTTACCAGTAGGCCTGTCCACTTTTCACGAATATACATATCTAATTCATAGGTCAAAATGTATGGAACATGATAAATGAAAGCAAATTCAATCGTGCACTTTATAATACTGACGGTAGGACTAATCTCAAGCCGAATGAAAGTAGAAAATGTTGTAGCATGTGGTACACTGAGAATGAATTCACATCTGATAACATCAGACAAACAGACACAAAATAAATGCATATTTTTTTTTTACACCATACATTATTCAGCAAATAGCTTGGTGACAAATACTAACAGCTCGCAGTAAACTCACAACCTTGAATCACAAAGACAGCTGACAAGCTTAGCAGTGGAACAATGCTTTACAAGTCAAGTGACTTTTGAGGACAGCCATTTCACACCAACTAAAACATTCACACTTACAGCAGTATCACATCTGATACAACTACTCATTTGATCTCGCCAACAAACACATTCATATCTCGAATAACAGATGCTGGCAGCAAATAATGCTAAGCTCATAATTAAACATTCTACTGATTCACTAGGAACAGACACAGTAATGCTCATACACAAGAGGAAAAAACTGGCTTGACAATGCATCTTCCCAAAATGGAAAATATAAATCATAGCCCTATTTTAAAGTAGCATACTGTAATGCTATGAGGAATATAAGAAAGACTTAAACAACTGACCCTATATTCACTTCACCACTTTTCCGTAAGAGCAAATGATATGCTCTATATGCTTGGCTACATAGTCCACAATGGTTGGGCGCTCTCGTGATCGTGGCATTTCATCACTGGAACTCTGTCGTGACTCGCCACTTGAGGGTTCTTGACTGTCATTACGACAGTGACCAGAAGGACCTGGCTCTGGTTCCTCACAATCTTTCATTGCCTCATCCTGATCCTTGGATTGTATCTCGATTTCCTCGGTCTTTTGTTCCTTAACCATGACATCCTCTGTTTCAAGTTTGCTTTCTATGCTAGACTTATCGTCTGTATCAGATTTACTTTCAACATCAAGTTTGCTTTCTATGCTAGACTTATTGTCTGTATCAGATTTACTTTCAACATCAGACTTGTTGTCCACAATAGGTTTGTCCTCCTCCGACGGGATCACAATCACCACATCAGAATCCTGGTCACTGTCCTCCTTATTTGTGCTGTCCGCACAGGGCTCAGACTTCTCCTGCTCTGCAGACTCTGACTTCTTCTCTGCAGACTCGGACTTCTCCTTCTCGGCAGACTCTGACTTCTCCTTCTCGGCAGACTCGGACTCCGACTTCTCGGCAGACTCGGACTCCGACATCTCGGCAGACTCTGACTTCTCGGCAGACTCTGACTGACTAGAATCAGATTTTGACTGGTTAGCACCCTCAGAGATGGCATTTTCATGGGTTGATTCATTGTCTACCTTGCCAGAGCTCTGATCCTCATTAGACGTAAATGATGTGGATTTCTCAGATTCAGTAGAATTCTTGACCAATTCTTCAGATGTTTCACAAGATAATTTTTGTTTCTTCGCAGATGTTTCACCTGAAAAATTGATAGTATTATTTTACAACACTATATCTTGTCATAGTCACCAAGAGGATAATTATGGTATCTGTATTTTAGTCCTGGAGAATTTCATGATCACGACACTTCAAAAACATTGCAACAATTACACTCGTCTTCAATTCCATGAATCAATGTCTTTATTTTAATGTGTCACCAATTTTCTTACCAGATATTTCCTCTGTGGCCTCCTCCTCTTCCCCACTGTCACCCTGTGAGCCTGAACGCTTGCGGGTTACAGATCGCTGTGATGTGTCAGCTGCACGCTGGTGCTGATGCTGGCGACACACCTGGAGGATATACTGTAAACTATCCACCAGGAGAGAGTTCAGCTGCTTAGGAGGCTGTACTGAGAATATCAGGAGCATAGTACGCAGATCCTGGGAACAAAACAGCATGTTCTTTACCTTACATGTATTTCAATGAACTTTTAACTGTTGAAAGGGGTCCTTTTCATTAGATCATTTGTCTATTTGTCTATTTCTAACAACATATACTTTGTCACAGAAAAATGCTGCAACGGTTTCATAGCTCATTGGAAGCAAAAGGAAGTTCTGTGAAAATAACAGGGGAAGACAATTTAAATGAATGATTAACTCAACATTACAAAAACAATACTGAACCACTAAGTCTAATCCTACTCCGATACAACAGTTTGGAATATAACAAAGGTAGATGACATTGGTTAGTTATTCTACATGTACTTAATTAAAAATGTCTCTGAAGTAGAATACTACATTCACTTTGCTTACCCCATTAATTCTATAGCAGATGTTTAGGAAATCTCTTTCTGATCTAATATTTTCAGCGGCAGCTTTTTCTGCTGTCACAGATGCCACCAGACTGTCCAAGAGTGATCTCCCTTGATCGTTTAGCACCTGTTGGAATACCTGAAACAAAGCAGGAATATTTCCACATCACTATTGACTTTTCTGTCATTACTAGGCCAAACCTATACACCTTATTATCATTAATCTTTAATACTAAAGAACTAGAGGAAGTGAGCAAGGCTCACATTAACCACCCTCTTCCTGATTACAAATTCACCATAAATTTGGTATTAAAGAAAATGCATGACTTGGTTTCTAACAGGTTTAGCACATGAATATGATGAAAAAAAGGTAATCCATGAATAAGTTTGTTTCCTCCCATTTTTCTCTCTCCAATGTTGTGATGCATTATTAACAAGCATATAACAGACAATAGTCATTTTTATCTGTGAATGTTTTTGATTTATAGCTGACTTGTCCAAGATATTCAAGAGCACTGTATTTGAAGAAAATACTTTCACCCATGAGCTTTCTCAAGTGTAGATACCCTACATGTATCTGGCATCAAGATAATGTGGCCTAGAAATAAGTATTTCAGTATGGTTGTGATGTTCACATTTTGGTGTGCGACACAGTACAATCTCAAGATGAAAGTCTACAAATGAAACAGCAACTAAGCTATGCTCGTGAACTTATATTTCAGTACTTTAGGTCAAGATCGAACAGAGGTTGTAGTGTTCCAAGTTAGTATCAGAAATAGCGCCTCAAAAAGATACCCACCTTTGGGAAGAAATTGCACAGGAACTGGTAGATATTGTGATTGCTGAGCGAGAGCCGCTCATCCAGTAGCACCGAATCCACATACTCTATAAATATGTTACTATTGCACAGGATATTGATACAATTTCTGTCCACCTGTTAACAAAATAATGTATATTTACTGTAGTACTATTTAGAATTTCCTTTCTTCTCTGGATCCTGTACACCAAAACTATTTCATTTTAATACAATTTTTCTGTTTTAAACACTGCATATATATACATGAAAGCTCTTCTGCTATTTCAATACTCGGAAGAGGAGGAAGCTTTGATGGCATTACTATTTATCTTTTTATTGCTTTTAACAGCAGTGTTCTGACCCTCAAACAGAATAATGAAGATTTTGCAAACTTGTAGACTTTTGAACTTTTTGAATTCAATACATCCAACTATGGTGGGTAACGAGAAGATGACTACAAACCTCCGAGTGGTATATCTCGTACCACAGCTTGGCAAAGTATGGGGAGTGTAAAGGTACTCCCTCAATAGCAACCATGGCACCTGAAATTTACAGAGCAGACATCCATCAAATAGAAACAACAGGAGCAGCTTCACACTTCATTATAAACCGAGAGCCTTAACAGTGAGAGAAACTAGACTTTTGTATGCTTATATGCATAACTTCAATGACATGACCTGTACATTTCTGAACGTTTCGAATCTACACTGGATTAAATTCAATGTATTCAAGGACTTAAAAAAAAAGCTTAGCTTATGTCCAATCCCTTTAATTTGTATATACATTTATTTATATTTCTTGTCAATTAAATGTATCAAAAATTAATTTAGTATCAAAGTAGTTGTTGTAATATATGATTATTCTGAATATGCTCTTTCTTACAATTTTAAGTTGACTTTTGGAACTAACTTAGTCAGGCTCCTGACAGATTATTGCCACAGAACTAATACTTACTAAGATTGATGATTGCCTCATTGAGGCTCTGATGATTGACAGCAACACGACACAGAAGATCAACCAGGGCATGATAAGGTGAAAAGAAGTCCAACAAGGCGTTGTCATACATATCATCTACCCCCTGCAATAGACATTTTGTTTCAATGACTTTTGATTTATGATGTCATTAGTTTTTGACTGCCTGTAAATTAAATAAACATTTGTACATACTAGATCTGTCTATACACTTTTGGTGTACAATCTCCTAGAATACCAAGGAGATTACCATTTTGACAGAAACCGTTCAACTGTTCTTTCTCAATATCTATATTTTCTCCCCATAGTAATTCCATAACAACAGTTACCCCCAGATGTATTTTGCACCAGGGCCTAAATTCTTAAACTGTTTTCATTCTCAAACTCCGATTCAGTGTTGAAGCTCCCTTCTTTATTCAAGCTAGAGAGTATCTTTTAAAATGACTTATTTCATGTTTCGTAAGTATTTAATAGTATTTACTTTTAGATCCTTTCACAAGAAATTAGTGAATTACGAATAAGACAGTTTGTGCATAGATCTCGATTCTTTGAGTCGTGACAATGGTTTTACGAATACAGGCCCAGGTCATTTCTCTGTTACAGGGGCCTGTTCGTACATGTGGAACAAACAGTTTGTCTGTTTTTAAATGTTACATTTCGGGTATAAATCCTGGGGGACATGCAAATGTTTATCGAGGCCTTGTAAGGCTTTGTCAAGGCTTGCCTGAAAGCAGCAACAGATTTCTAGGTCCGACCTTATTTCATAAACAAACAAGTCTGGTTCAACCGGTTTAGCCGTTTGGACCACGATAAACGAAAATGGTCCAGTTATATGGTATCAGATATTACGTTACTCCTGTTTCACCTTTGTGGCTTCTATCTGGCTGGAGTGTAACATCATGTTGAACTGGGGTCGTGGTGGTCGAATGTTAGACTTTGGACCTATCGGTTTCTGCCCCCTCCGAGGAAAATATGGACCCATTGTCACTGTAAATACAAACATGTCTCAATATTGTTAACCTCACATATAAAAACATCAAGAATTGTTACAATCGAAATCAATTAAAAGTCTACACTTTGGAAAACATTGCAACTACTCGGCATTGATTTATAGCATAAATTTGACAATATTTCCTCCCACATTCATAAGGAGAACTTAACAAGGCAAAACAAAGATTGAACATGAACTTTTCACTTCTAACTTTATTTTTTGTTTGACTCGCTACATTTATAACACTACATACTTGGGAGGTTACTCTCCTGGAAGGCCACATGTGCCTGGGTAAGTATGGGGACCACAGTATGGACACACTCGCTCTGGAATGTCAGGATCATCTCTCGCAACACCTCTGTCAACACAAACGTCATCATTAGTATTACCAGTGTCAGGAGTCAGCAACTCAATACTACATGTACCACAGAAAGTTAGGCGTGAGATTAAATATTGGTATAGCCAATGTGCTGTCAACAATAAATCGTTCAAAATAGAAAAATCTGAGATGAAACTACAAAAGTATTAGATGCATATGCGTATGTTGATCACTTTATAGATTCTTTGATAGATCAATGTAGATCAATGAAACAGCTTTGGGCTCATACACAAAACTCAATAATAATCCAGTTTTTTTTTTTATCATATTCCAAGTCCATTCCAATGATTCGGAGTGTAAATCCACAGCCGCTCCTACCTATGGAAATGTGGCGAATCTCTGGAGGTGTATAAGAGTTTAGAAGTGTTAATAACTTCTTCACAAACTCCATCCTGTCTTTCCAACTCTGTAGCACTGTATTCACATCAGCTGCCGTGGAACCTTAAATGTATGATGATAGCCATATTTAATAGAGGACAATGGTTCATTTTCAATGCAATTTGGGATTTATCTTTCTTCAGTTCTATTAAGATCTCCTTTATGTAAATTGAAACCATGATTTCTGTGTAATACTTCATCCTAATTACAAGTCGGAAGCATCACATGATCAACAAGATGAAACTATCAGTAAACAATTACCCATTATTCCAATGATATACTGCAGGTTAACTGATAAAGTATGCTACAGATGTAATGTTGTATGATTACCCATTAAATACCAAAGAGGAGACGCAGGAGCAGAGTTATTACCTTTCTTTTCATGGAAATGTCTGGCAACCTTGAGGACTGGCAGAAGTATGGACAGTAGGTCAACAATATCTCCAGTCACATGACATGCTGTGGCCTCGTGGTACATCACATGTAGTGTGTTGAACGCCTGTAAAACATACATATCCCATATAACAAAACAGTAGTTAGCAATGAACAACTGTAGTTTTTGTATGACAATTTAATGAATGCATCCTTTGAACTCAGCCTGAATGCCATGTATTTCATAAATATCAATACCACAGAAGCGGAAATGCAAATTTCATTTTTTCACATTTTACAAAATATTCAAATCATGAATACAATTTTTTTTATAGTTTAAATTAGATGGTCTAATGCATATATTATACTAACATTCTGATATAACCAACATGTTCTGCAGACAAAAATCATGTACAAATGTATATATACATATGTTAGCTGTTTGAATTTAATTATGTAATGCATTAAATATTTCAATTGGAATCCTAGTACATCCTCTAACAAGCAGGAGAACTTGCTTACCTCTGTGATCATCTGGAGGCCCTGTTGATATATCAGCAACAGTCTGTCATCTGTGGTGTCTATCAGAACCTTCAATGCACTATAAACCAAAATCAATAAAGAAATATAAATCCTCTTTGACTTCATCATTGAGATTAATTCTTCACTGAACTACTCATTAACATTAACTCAGTGTTGAGAGAGGAAAAAGTGTTCCTTCGTGTAAACATGTAGCTTGGTAGCTGATGCTTTGGGATAGTAAAGTACCCCTGTACTCTCTATATTGTTATGTTATATCCCTCACTTCACTTTACACCAACATAATTCAAGGTCCATTTTTTTTACCTATTTCTTAAAATTTCATTTACATGTTTCTTTCTTTATACTTCTTTATCGTGCCAAAATTCTGTCTTGACAAAGGGTGGTAGTGTAATTTGAAAGTGTACTGAACTTGTCATCGTTATAGCCTATCACCCACCTAATGAGTGTCTGCCACATGGAGCGTGCATCCAGAAAGTTGAGGAACATCTGCATCATGTTGCGCTTGAAGAGATTGACTGAGCGGATTTCTTCCTCAGTACTGTCTTGGTACTTTGTGGCCATCATCTTCATGATCTTGAACAACTCTTCAACAGCCTGTAACAAAATTAAACATTCTAAGTTAAACAAAAACTAAGTAAGAGGTTAAGTTTTTTTGTTTGTTTGTGATTTCACTGTCTGCTAACAAATAAGATTGAGTGTGTGGTCATAGCAATATGATATTTACCAATGAAATGGCAGTGAGCTTTCATATTGCAAGTTCACATTTCTTAACTGTGCTGAGAAAATTCTAACCGGTAAGAACAAGTTTCTCTTGATATGATTCTCAGTATTGAAATCAATGATATATATTCTGTAATTAAAGACAATTGTCTTTTAAGCCAGAGACACCACCTCTCCCATGCCTGATAACTGACCTGAGTGTACTGAGCTGGGTAGGGTGATATGTTCTTGAAGGCCCACTGGATGTTCTGGTGTTGGGCTAGAGTTCGAGTGAAGGAGCGAGACTGCTGACAACACATCCGCAGCAGACCGTAGTACGACGGTAGCATGATCCTGTTGAACATGACGACCTCCTGGTCTTCATGGTCCGCTCTGTTGGTCAAAGAACACACAATCATCAACAATTCCTTCCATACCAAAACAGACTGTATACTGGAAAACTTAACCCAGTAAAACTTTTCCCCTAAGCCTGTAAAATCCATATTTGCATAGTGTTAATTTTGCCCTTCACAGCTGTTAACTAATGGTCGCTGTAATGATAGATATGCCCCGATTGCAGAAGGCAAAAATGGGGAAGGTTAAACTGTGGCAAAAATTTCCCCGATATACAGCATTCATTTTAGTCCACATGTAAACTTTCCTAATAAATATCAGACGAAGCCTTCATCTGTTTGTACATTCTGTCATATCATTTACAACAGAATGGAAAAAAAATATATATCAAGATATAGTTGCCTAAAAATTTAAAATAAAGAATGTCATTTCATAAATATTTTTAACTTTAAATTACACGAATCAAATACAACACTTGACATCTAGCCCACATGAACCACTACTTACAGGATGTAGTTGTATGCTATCTGTTTACAGACTTGGGGATGAACCACTACTTACAAGATGTAGTTGTACGCTATCTGTTTACAGACGTGGGGTTGAACCACTAATTACAGGATGTAGTTGTACGCTATCTGTTTACAGAAGTGGTGATGAACCACTACTTACAGAATGTAGTTGTATGCGATCTGTTTACAGACGTGGGGATGAACCACTATTTACAGGATGTAGTTGTATGCTATCTGTTTACAGACGTGGGGATGAACCACTACTTACAGGAAGTAGTTGTATGCTATCTGTTTACAGACGTGGGAATGAACCACTACTTACAGAATGTAGTTGTACGCTATCTGTTTACAGACGTGGGGATGAACCACTATTTACAGGATGTAGTTGTATGCTATCTGTTTACAGACGTGGGAATGAACCACTACTTACAGAATGTAGTTGTACGCTATCTGTTTACAGACGTGGGGATGAACCACTATTTACAGGATGTAGTTGTATGCTATCTGTTTACAGACGTGGGTATGAACCACTACTTACAGGATGTAGTTGTATGCTATCTGTTTACAGACCTGGGGGTGAACCACTACTTACAGGAAGTAGTTGTATGCTATCTGTTTACAGACGTGGGTATGAACCACTACTTACAGGATGTAGTTGTATGCTATCTGTTTACAGACGTGGGTATGAACCACTACTTACAGGATGTAGTTGTATGCTATCTGTTTACAGACTTGGGGATGAACCACTACTTACAAGATGTAGTTTTATGCATTCTGTTTACAGACGTGGGGATGAACCACTACTTTCAGGATGTAGTTGTACGCTATCTGTTTACAGAAGTGGTGATGAACCACTACTTACAGAATGTAGTTGTATGCGATCTGTTTACAGACGTGGGGATGAACCACTATTTACAGGATGTAGTTGTATGCTATCTGTTTACAGACCTGGGGATGAACCACTACTTACAGGAAGTAGTTGTATGCTATCTGTTTACAGACGTGGGAATGAACCACTACTTACAGAATGTAGTTGTACGCTATCTGTTTACAGACGTGGGGTTGAACCACTAATTACAGGATGTAGTTGTACGCTATCTGTTTATAGACTTGGGGATGAACCACTACTTACAGGATGTAGTGGTATGCTATCTGTTTACAGACTTGGGGATGAACCACGACTTACAGGATTTAGTTGTACGCTATCCGTTTACAGACGTGGGGATGAACCACTACTTACAGAATGTAGTTGTATGCGATCTGTTTACAGACGTGGGGATGAACCACTACTTACAGAATGTAGTTGTACGCTATCTGTTTACAGACGTGGGGATTGGTGACGATGAGTTTGATGTTCTCAGGGCAGTCCTGACACACCTGATACCAGAAGTACAGCAATGCCTGCAGGAGAAGAAGTTTATACACTTGTACAAACAAGATTGTGTTAAGTGCACAAAACTATTTTTTATTGTTTACCACTTGTTTACAAATTCATTATGTTCAGGAGAGCATTGATGTAGACACCCAAGATTTCAATACAACATGACTCTTTTTATACAAATCACTTAACACATCAATCAGTGCATACTCATTTCATGTAAAAAAAATGACCCTGGTTTCAACCATTTTAACTTAGTAATCTAAATATTCTGAAATTTCACATTTCCTCCCTATTAAATAATTAGAATTTCCACAATCATTACCTGTTTCAAGGCAAGAGATGATTTCTTAATATCATAAATATTTTACTATTTCAACTGATGTTTGAGGAAATATTGCCCTTAAAATCCATATAATTTTGAGAATTGAGATCATTCTCAAAGTTTAGAAACTTGGTGATTCTGTGGCCTGATGACAGTACTCACCTGCTTGTTGTGGTGCATGGAGATCTGAGGCTCACAGAGCCGGGGTTGGAACAGCTGCCATAGGTCACCGAAGTAACTGGAGAACTACAATAACAGGTATTTTATCATCATTATATATATATAACAGCATACTTTTAAAATGGCTATTCACATGAACATATTTCTTAAATGACTTGCTATTTGCCTGTTGCAAGCCCAAAACGATTGGACTACCATGTGCTGTTGACATAAATGGTAGGTCCACTATGTTGTTAGCAGTGGTGGACATTTTAATTTTCGTAATCCTTTTCAACATTTCTTCCTGTTTACATATTTTTTATTTGGTAATCTATATTAGTCATTAACAGTTTGAAATATTCTAGGTCGAAAAATTCTTACATTCAACCTGACAAAATATCAGTCATATTTCAATACATGTCTAGAAAGTAAACAGAATTTCCAAGGATGTTGCCAACTATTTACCATGAGTTTTTCCTCCCTAGTGATGAGACAGTAGGTCAGTACAGTGAAATAGCTCAGCAGTTTAGTTGTGCCGTGACTCTGGGAGTCCGCATACACTTTGGCACGTTGTAGGAGATTTAACAAATGGTTAAAGATCTACAACAAATCAACAACATATAAGGTGAGGATGGAAATAACCATTTTGTAATTTCATCCCGAAGAAACTATGGAAACTTTAAGTCATCAACTATGAAATATTTAACTTTGAAATGAAAAGAAATGAAAAATTTCTTTACTTTTGATTGTTAAAGGAAAGAATAGTAAATCAACACAACTTGGTAGTTATGAAACAAAATTGACCTTTATCTGCTCAATCTGCAATACAATGAACATTATCAGAAATTTCAATGGCTATTTAAAAATTTCTGCATCATAAATAACTTCTCTCATTAGCATTAAAAAGAAATCAATCTTACCTGATGTAATACAACGATACCTTCTGTTGATATCTAAAAAACAGAAAGAAAGGAACGATGAATGACATAGACATTTTTCAAACTAATTAAAGCATAAATTACCTATGTGAATCTGAATTCTTGTCTGTTATTACTGTAAATGGTTGGAAGCATTCATTTAAAATAATCTAAAACAAACAACACCAACATTTCAAAGTCGTGTGTTGCCTAAAAACAGATGAGCCAAACTTACTGAGATTTCTTTCTGGGGACTAAGGATGCGACGTGTGGCTACAAATGTTTGGCGGAAGTGGTTGCTTGGCACAAGGGATACAAGAAGACATGCGGTGGCTGCAAGGGAAAACAAACACATCAAACTAATAACTGTTTCCTTCTAATGTGATTTTAACTGCCATGACTTAGGCTTTTATTGACAAAATCACTTGAGTATAGAGAATTTCTGTTGATGCTAAAGACATTTTACTTTCAACAGTTTGGATACTGAAGTTATTTTTTTATTCTGTTGTTGTAAAATTACCCTTTAGACAAGGAACAACAAGCATCATCCATGAAATATGACAAACAAGAAATATTAATTTAACACACTTTAAGTTCTATATAATTTCTTAATTATCAGGTACCAGTGATATTGATTATAATGCTGTTGTGTTATAAAGTAGTAGGACAGTACATTGTCAAATTATTAACAGATGTTCAAAATTCGTATATAATTACTCTAGCAAAGAAATGTACAAAACTTACATTTCCATAAACAAACAACATTTATCACAATTTCTTTACCACCTGCAGAAAAACAGCCACTGGTCACTCTACCAAGGCATTAGGCTTCAATTTCATATTCCAACTACACTCCCCATTTCTGACAAGCTGTTCATATAAATTAAATTGTATTTCCAATGAATCTCACCATTTCTGACTCTAACATTGTTGTTGGCTATTAGATAGGGCTCTACCCAACTCTCCATCTGGTTCAGCAGCCAATGGCTGGCTAGTTTGTTCCTGGTCACTTGAGTAGACATCCACTCCAGACATGGCTGTGGACAGCTCTTGGTCAGCTGGAAGGATGACCAGAAGATGAGTTATTGAACCATTTCTGACACATAGCAATGGATAATACCAACACAATGATCAAGGATTGTCTAAATGTTTCTGGTTCTTTTAAATATTCAGTTTTTGAATTGAAAATATATCTGTTAAGGATCCCGGACCCATTGCATTATGCTTTTTTGTAAACTTAGTAACCTTCCCTTAATTCCATTTTGGATAAAACTGTAGAACAGTTGTTGATTTTTCCAGAAGGTATGATTTTCTTTTCAGAAATGATAGATCAAAACCATTGTCATGCCGGAAATTCTTGTTTCTTCTAAAGTGTAGTTACAGTTTTTGGCAGTAGTACAGGGATCCTTAAAAGGCAATATTTCCCATCTTATTCACAACAATAATGCTACAATGAACTGTGATGACCTGTATGTACTTACCTCCCAGAATCTCTGTAGGACATACTGAGTGAAGGGGGGCAGCCCTGGAGGTCCTCCCCCAAACTCCACAAGCATTGACATCAATTTGAAGAAGGGTTGTGAATGCTGTAAAAGATGTATGCAGAGTTCAATGCAATTATTTACTTTTTTTCCACAATCTTAGCATTCAGTTTAACACAGTTCTCAAAATATGTAACATTTTGGATAGGTTCTAATAATGTCACATTCAATAAAACTGTAGATTTCCTACTTCCTTTTCTAATAAAATTAGATTTCCTACTTCATTTTCTAATTTAAATATGCTAAGTGGGATTTTCATATTTCCAAGATTAATATTCATTAGGTGACAATACAAAAAGCAAACGGTGAAAGTTCCAAATAGTAAACTTACCTCAATACTCAGCTTCTTTATAGCACTGAAAACCATAGTAACAATCTGCAAACAACAACACATTTTTTGAAATAATTTCCAGATTACATAATTAACTCTTCTGGTTTCCATCCGAAGCACAAGAACTCAATTATCTATTGAATCATTTAAATTGTGCATGTTTTTTTATATGTTTAACTTAGAAAAAAAAAAAGTTTCCTGCAGTGTTGTATTTATGCTTTTTTAATTGCTGGGTTTGTATTAATATTTTCTCGAGGAGTAACCAAATATCAGTAAACCATTACTTGGTACACTGTCCTAGGTTTAAAAGATACATACCGCTACAGCTAGCTGCTCGTTCCAACGACACAGGCTGAAGATGAGGTTACAGGTCTGCCGTACATTGATATTGTCTCTGATCTGGTTGGACATGAATGGGAATCCCTGCAAAATCAAAATAAGTTCAACAGTAATACAGTAACTTCACCAGATTTCAATTTTTTATCTTTTACTAAAATCACAATAATAACAAGGCAATGTGCAGTGTGGGTTCACATGATCAACCTTTCTGTCACCATACAGCATTGATATCAGCTATAAAACCTGCAATGTGTGCTATTGATTTATACACTAGATTAGCTATTCTTCATTGTGTATTACCAATATTTATTATTCCTTTAACAGATAGGATATTCTGCCAATGTGTGTATTATTAATTTCCATACTACTAGCTATTCTGTTATTAGTAATACTGGTTAAAGAATATAGTCTATTTTGCAAAGTCAGCTGTGCACTGTTAATTCAAATTCCTACTACAGATTCAGTCGTCATTAAAATTTTGTTTTCATAGACATCACTTACATGCAGATAAATGGGTACCTGAATAATCTAAACTTGGACTTTTAACTTTCTTCGATTGATGTTTAGTTTTTCAATCCATTCCTTCACAACACAGTGAAACACTATCATCAAACCTTTATCTTGTTGACATTCCTCTTTACTTTTTTATCCTCAAAGTAAGCCTCCCTAGAGATTACTGAGAATGAGCTATTATTTACCTTTCCTCCAATAACAGAGTTATAGTCTTTATCAGAAATGTGAAGCTGGTTGTCCTCGCTACGAGACTTCTCCACCAGTAGAGCTATCAGTGTGATCATCTTTTCCAGTGACATTGGCTTATAGTTATCATCAGTGATTGTAATCACCTCATCCTCCTCATCATCTGATGGGATCTCCACCTATATAACAGATAATGTGAAATGCACACAAAGGTACAGTTTGAGGAGATACAATGTAGATAACAATCCGAGAGCATATATATTATGAACGTTAACTACAAAAACAACACTTTGAAAACATCTTTGATATCAAATGTACTGCTTAAGAAGAGATTTTTACACCACATATTCTTTGTTTCTATTATGAAGTTAAAGTATCAGTAAATTAAATGTTGTATACAAGGTAAATGCAGGTAGAAGAACTCACATAGTTTTCCTGAGCCTTCTGTCCCATGTAGAAACCAATCATAGTGGAGATGGCATTACTGTTAATAAGGAAGAAACACTCCTCATCTCCCATCTTTGCAAACTCCAACAGGAAGGCAAAGTACTCAGTCAGGTACTTACTGTGGGGACGCACACCATGCTCAATCTGTATTAATGCAAAGTACAGGTAAAGGGAAAGTTATATTTGGTCATTAGTTGTGCTTCATAATATATCTAAGGTCATTTAAAAAGGGCATGTAACTTTAATTATCTTATATAATGTATATTACAATTCAAGTCAAAACATGTCTGTACTTAAAATTAATAAAACAAAACATGAAAATGATTGTAAAACATGTATATGCCTCATTATTTGATGGAAATGGAGCTTAACACAAAATCTAACCAATGAAATGGCACTAAATGCAATGTCTAACCATGTTGGTGAATAAAAAAATGTAGGTCACAGTGACCTACAAATGATATATCGGTGCAGTACTCAGGATGTATCCCACAAGAAGTTTGATGCTAAATAGGACGTCTAATAAAGCTGAATGGAAGGACAAACATATGGCCCGACAGAAAAGTCAAACACTTAATGACCCCACTATATAGCCATGGCATAAAAATCTGCCATGGGTGATATCAAATACGTTCCCCGATTCCAAAAACATATATTGAGAAGTTTCTTTTCAGACAACTTCTTGATTATCAAATACGATTATGATTTACCAGATTATGAGGCAAGAAGTCTGGCAGAAATAGGACTTCTGTTCAACAAGAGCAACAGTGTAACCGAACATTTTTTATATACTCGGTCCCAGCTGTGCCATCAGAAGGATTCCATTGTATGTCATTTAGCATGTCAGACCAAAGGGACATTACCTACAATCTTATACTCACAATTGTCAGCATCTTCTTGATGAACCTGGTCACACAGGACTTGGTGCCCAACTCTGATACATCTATCTCACCGTCGTCACTGGAGGCAACAACCACACAGTATTATATTACCAGAGCAAACAGTCATGAATACAATCAAATTTCCACTAGAGAGGAAACATTCAGCTATGCCTGTAAAATTAAGCACTCAAATGTTCATTAGCTCCAATTATTGTTACATATAGACTGATTTCAGGTATTACTACTTAGACTTCATTTAATCATATACTGTTAATGAGATAAAGTCTTTAATCTAACACAATTAAGAGACCAATACTCACCCCTCAATGAACGGCTGTAGGTACAAGTCCATGTGAGCTGACCGTAACTGGGAGATCACATGTATCAACAGTCGCTGGAACATCTAGACAACACAAAAATCAGTGTTAGTTAAAGTTAAGTTTGTCCAATGCCAACAATGTCTTTAAACAAATATTAAGAAGCAACAATTATCAAGGATTGAAAAGGGGAAGGGAATTGTAAATGTATAAGGTTATAAAGGTGACACTTTCTGTAATTCCGATCTGGTTAGATGTATGTTTGAGTGTGAGTTCAAAGAGACAAGCACTGACCTGTCTGACCATCTGGTTTGGACACTTGATGAGGATCTGTATCGGCCACCAGTCACTCTCGGCCATGTGGTCGAGGAACCACTCACACGCTGAAGGACATGTGTTAAACTGTTTGGTCAGTAGCTCTATCCACTGCAGCATGGTCGGCTGGCAACAAAAGTGCTTTGTTTAACAAACCTACATGAACAGGGTTTCACTTCACTTACATTGTTGGTCAGCCATAACTTTTCTATGACAAGGGAGTGAAATTGCATTTTTTTTTTTAAAGACCTGCTTTACTACAGATTATCAAGGCATAAACCTGTTAAACAAGAGCTACAAATTTAAGAAAATCATTTTAGTGGACCATGTTCTACTGAAGAATTATCTTAACTTAAAGTTGAATGAGTTTTGCAGGGTTACAAGTTACATTAAATATTAAACTGAAGTTTGGCTGGCTCACTGAAAATTTTATTGAACTAAAGAATTAACAACATTAATTGGTAAAGACGTATCTTTTACTTTTTGGACAGTTAACATCATAGAAAATGCATATTATATATTAGGAAGGCATTTTACCTTTTCCTTGGCATGTATAAGGGTCTCGAGGACAAAGGAAGTGCTAAGCTGTGAGGCTCTGAGGGACACCTGTAGCTGGGGATCTTTAGACAGAGTTGTAGGGATGTATCCACAGATCTGCCAGATAAACCTATTTAACAGAACATATTCAATATATCGCTCTGTCATTTCATACAGACAATTTCAGTCACATACATCTTATTTGGAGTCTGTATCTACAGTATTGCAATTTGAGAATGAAAATAAACATTATGCAATTGCCAAGAAATCTGTTAATATTTTTTTTTAACTTCATTTCAGTAAAATTTTCCTTAATAAACTATCATGCAGTGTCCATTTGGACGGATTTTATTTTTCATTTACTTATAAAAGATCTGTATATATTTGTAGTGAAAACTGTTACATGATTTAGGTCCTCTAAATGCTAGTTGACAACTTAACTTACCCAAAGTAGGTGTGTTCAAATATGTTCTTGTCTTGGAGAAAATGCATGTTGTCCTGCCAAATCCACTTCAAAGAAAGAAAACAACACAGGTTGACAACATCATAAACTTTGTTAACAAGAGACAGATAATTCTATGTGGAGACAAAAATCTGTTCAAAGCTGCATTAATACACACTGATTCATAGTTTGTACTTAGTAAAACAACAATTTTGCACAGAACACCTACCTCAGCCAATTCTTTTGACAGTTCAAAATTGAACTTTTGGACGGGTTCAACCTCTAACAACTTATTCGGCTCCTCAGTGTCTTTCTTTGCTGGACATCTCTCATAGAACAGCATGTAAGCACTATTTGTCTGGAAGAAATCAATCAAATTTTAAATTCATAAAACCCCTGTGGTGTCATTTGAATTATTTTCGTATTTGATATTTCTTTCTATTGGAATTTATATTGTACAAGCTGGGGTCAGAGTATCAAGTGTATTTACACTGGAATTCCTTTGGGCTTAAAAGTAAATCCTTTAACATGGAAAGCATTTTTTATCTTCTCTTTAACAAATTTGCTGCAAACATGTTACTTCAATCACTATTAGATTAACTCCAAGTCTTTGTCTGGTCTATGATTTCCACAGATCCATTCCATGCTAAGGGACTGAACAGGAGCAGATGTATTACTCAATAAAGCCATTATTATTATTTACCTTTTCAAATGAAAAATCCATGAACTTGTCGGTCACTGAATCATAAGTTTTACTCTGCAGAGAGAAAAGCAAATATTGAAAATTGGGAAAAAAGCTAAGACAATTTCTATCATTAAAAATTTCAACACAGAACAAATGTATGAAAGAATCAAATTTGAATTACAAAATTAATTTACTTGAATACTTTTACAAATACTGTGTTACATTTAAGCCACAATTATTTTGGACTTCTTTAAGACCACTCCTTGATATTTAAATTGACAGATCACTCCTTGATATTTAAATTGTCAAGTTTTAAATAAAATGTATTGCATTCCAAGCCTACCGTCATCTCTCCCCCAAAGCACTCTGTAGCAATCTGACTTGGATCAAATGGCTTCACCTCTGCATCATTGAACAGGTACCTACATGAGAAAATAGTTTCTACATTTTAAATAGTGACAACCTTTCTGCACAAAAAACATAAATCAAAGTTCAACCATTTCAAGATCAAGTTTTTTCTAAAAAATTAAATTAAACATCAGACACATAAAAGTTTTTCCAATATTTGTTATGATGCAAATGCTTCAAACCTCAACGTGAACACTAAAATATTAACAATTAGGATTTACATCTGTTGAATTTGTTGATCCACAAGATTCTACTGTTACATTCACTCACCATTTATCCTGGCCGTTGTCAGTTGTGTGCATTCGGTCACGTATGAAGCTGTAATAATGGCCCCCATCAGCTGTCCCTGTGTGAACAGTCACACCTGTCAGCTCGTAATCATAGCCTTCATCTTCATCATCCTCCATCTCCAGCATCTGTAGTCGCTCATCCTCATCATCATCCACTGTTGGAAGAATGGCAATGCAGTATTAATGATACGTAAAACACTTCAAAAGATATTTCAGACGATATTTTCAAAGTTGTCCATTTTTATGCTCTTTAAAATCCATTTGCTACCAGTTATTTCACATGAATACAGAGAAGAATGCTTCAGAACACATATAGGTCTTGATAGAACAACTTCCTAAACACCATAGAAGTAAAACTCACTACTTTCTAGTTTCCAGGTGGTGCATGACAGTATCACAAGCACAAATCATGACACTCAGGTGCGAGTCATACTTCCTAGAAAAGTGACCAACTTCAATATGTTTTCAAATCAAACACTACCCAAAAGTAGACCATTATGGTACTCTTTGTTGAAAGAATCTTATTAGACATACCTTTGAGTTTGTCTGGTCCCATGAGAGTTTTCTCCATGTACTGAGACATGTCCAAACACAAGGGGAATGAGAAGTGGGTGTTCACTTTCTCCTTCATCATGGTTACCATATTAAACGTATACCGCATGGTGTTGAAGCACAGGATCCTCGGTAACCTCTTGAAACATGCCCTGATAGGAAAATATATTGGAGAATTCAATTCAAAATTTGTTATCAACTTTTTAAAATTTGTTTAAATTTAATTTAATTCAAGTTGTTACTCTTTTATATACAGATACCTCATTCACATGAAAATCTTGTTACTGTTAATATGGCCTGACATTAATGGATTAGATGAAAATACTACCTACCGTTTCTCAGCACGCACTTTCTTCTGGCACTTTGAGCAGGTATACATATTGTCTCCTTCTAGCATATCCTTTACCGTCACCTCATCCAGCGATTCCTGTCAACACAGATATAATCTCACATAAGATCATGTACAAAACAAACTGAAACACAATAACGAAAGTTCTGACTTTCTTTGGTTAAATGTTTTACAGAAAATATCAGAAATTTAAAATGTTTTACAGAAAATATCAGAAAATTGAAGAAACTAGATGTAATGTTATGTGATAAATTATCTTTCATACCAAAGATACTTTCAAGACTCTTGTTGTCCATATCTCTATCACACTTACGTAGAGGTTTTTCATGTCTGTGACCTGACATCTGACTGTGTAGAATTCTTCCAGGGTCCGACTCACATGGGGACAATCCTAAACATCAACAAAACTTACGTTAATCTATAGTAATTTAAGGATAGGAATCAAAACGTCTTTTAATCAGGATTTAAATTTAATTTAATTCTTCAACATATAACATAGTTATAAGAGATCTAACCCTGAAAATAAACTTTTCAATTTTTTTAATAAAATATTCTTTTTCCAGTGAACCCCAGTATTATTTTTGAAATTATCTGTACAGATTTAAACACTTTACAAATTCAAACGTTGCATGATGCAAATTTTGTCAAGATCATTAGATCTGTATTAAATCCGTTTTGGTCTCTGTGGAGTATAACATATAGATAGATTAGCCTTGACTTAGGAGTGAACTTACCAGAGACACCACGTTGTTTGTCAGAATACCCCCAAACAGGCTCTTCACTAGCTTGTGCTGAAAACAGAAAAATATATCTATTTCATTTAACTGTCTATTTTATTTTTCAAATAATGAAATTACATCTACAATTTCTTTTGATGTCCTCCTAGTGATAAGTTTTTAACTGTAACACTTATTTTCCAGTTTTGGGAACAAAATCACAGATAAATGGCGATAAGTTATGTTCTTCCCTAAAAGTACCTTTCCAAAAAGTTTTCTGCTCTTAACATGTAAAAGTATGCTTATTGTATAATGTTTGCTATCCTTATTGTCAACAAAGAATTTTGGAAAATTTGGTGAGCCCTAATACTAATATATCCCAGTTTTCCATTATCAAACAGCTTTACCATTTCTGGCGACATATCCTCCAATTTACTGATGAGGTCGGTGAAGAACTCGGTCATGTCTTTCTGTTCCCCTGTGTTAAGAGGCTGTTTGTCCATGGTGTAGGTCTTACAGAAGCTCCGAGGGTTGTATGCTTTTCTTTCACTCTCCTATTGGAAAGTAAAATATTGACATGTTTACAGCAAACTACTACAAATGAAAGTAATCCAGCCACTGAATTCCTTTACTCAATAATTTTCGTTTGAAAATCAATTAAAACTGAGAAAATAGATCAAAGTTCATAAACAAGCATTCAAAGAGCATTGCATATTTGACATTAAAGGAAGGCAAAATAAAAGTTCATAAACAGCATTCAAACAGCATTGCATATTTGACATTAAAGGAAGGCAAAGTAAAAGTTCATAAACAAGCATTACTGCTTGATAATACAAGTTTATATCATGAGAAGAAATAGTTCGTGTTCACTAAATCAATGTAAGTCAATTGTTTATACCTGTAGATATGCAAACATCTTCTTCAGCTCCGACATGGTACCTTCATACTTGTTATGTTTTGAACACTGAAATAAAATGGAAATCATTGTAAATAGTTATAAGGATGAATTTACCTTAAAATTAAAAGCATTTCACGTGATTGCAGATTCCAAGAAACTATGATATTTACCATATGCAATTAAAAAGTGTTCTTTTAATATGTGTATTCTACTGCAATATTTTTCTTCAATTGCTTTTTTAAACAAGAGGCCCAAGGGCCTTAGCGGTCACCTGAGTTATATCATAGATACTGGTAGCTTTATTTTATTGTTTAGATGTGATGTGGAAATCAGCATGTAAACTAAGTGAAATACAATACTTGTCATGTCATCAATGGATAAGAATTTGAAAATATTGGTAAATGTTCCCTTTGGGGCCCCG